AGTTGGTGATAATTCTAAACATATTGATTGATTAAACTGACCTACCAAAGGGGGAAGACTCACACTTTGTCTGATCAGACCCTTGATTACTAAACTTTGGGGAAACTGTTCAAACATCAACTTCTGGTACTGACAATTAACCTCATCTCCTCCTGTGATGTCACAGATCATGGTTCAGTCCACTTTCTGACCTGACATCCTCCACATGATGTGGATTACATGAATTTATTTGAAACAAGAGTAAAAAAGCTTTCAATGAGGCCATGGTGCTCTCCTGCAAAAGGAGGAAGTCCTCCACCTCCTGGTTTGAGCTGCAGCAGAAAACAGAGTTCAACTTATAACAAGTGGACCTTCCACAATGGCACTTCATAAGTTTGGCTGACAAAAATTTAAAAGCTAATTAATGTTTTTAAATATAAATATATTAATGCAGGTTTAAGCAGCTTTTCTGTTTTTAGAGAGTAACTAAGTTGAACCTCCAAACAGAATGACTCTAAAAGTTAGCCTGGCCTGCCAGACTCGCTCTCTGTCTTTTCTACACAGAGGAAGAGTCTGGATACTCACAGGCAGAGAGCACCATGAGGGGCGGGACTAGCCAGCTCAAAAATGACCAATCAGAAAAACAGGTGGAAATGATGGCTGCATTGCTTGCCGGGACGCTGTAGTTTTTTTGGCTGTAGTCAAAGATGGCATCTGGCGACAGCGCAAATATTAGAAGAAAGGCTTTTATTGCTTCTTGTTGTGGTTTTAAGGACATGTCCAAGTCATTTAGAACAGAGGAAAGAGCCACAATGAACTCCGTTTCAGACGCCATCTTTGTTGTTTTTGAGAAACTGAGTGTTGCGGTGTGCGACATACGCTGCTCAGCGCTGATTGGCTTGGTTGGAATTCTCAGGGGGTGAGGCTATTTGAATGGGAGCGTTACTGAGCCGTTACTATTCACTTTCCATATAGAAGAATCAGCATGGCTGGCCAGGCTAAAAAAGTATCAGTAATATTTAAAACTCTATTCAAGGCTTTACATCATTTTCCACAAATATCAACATAGAAAAGTGCGAAATTCTTTTGGCAAATGTTTTTGTTTCTCTTAAAGGGAATTCTACGGTGAAATAATCACGAAACAGTCTAATGTCTCAGTCATGTTGGAAGGATGGTTATAAAACAGATTTCATTCAAGAATAGAATAGAATAGAATAGAATAGAATAGAATAGAATAGAATAGAATAGACTTCACTGATCCCACAGTAGGGAAATTCACTTGCTACAGGAGCTCATACACTTGAAGAAAAGGAAGATGAACAATAACACGATTGCAGGTTCTAAGCCAGCTGGGTAGTTGTCAGTTTTTCTCCTTTTGACCCCTTAGCATTCCAGTGTCCCGCCCATGGGACAAAACCCCATTACCTTCATTAAACCTGGAAATTTAAGGGGTTAAAACAAACTGAAACGGGGCATAGTCTTTGTTTAAAGTGTGTTTTGATACATGGGCTGCAGTATCCAAATTTGACCATAAGATGTAACCATTCTTACTTGCCCCTTTAATCTTAAAACTTAGTAACAGAAGCAAAATGAAGATTTTTCATAAATGATGAGAAATTCCTAAAAAAGCTCAGAAAAAGTCAGAATTCTAACTTAAACCTCTAAGTTCTGACTTTGTTTCTCAGAATTCTCACGTTAGGCTAGAAAAATAAGTGAAAACCATTTTTTGGGTCCTAATCCTTTTCTGTGGATATTTTTTCAGAAACTAGGAATTGTTTATTTTCAGAGATGACCAGAAGAAAGAGATTATGAGCTGAGTCGGAAAAATGGTTGGACTCGTTTACTTTTAAAGTATGGTTTGGGCATCTAGGAAGGTGTTTTGGACATGTCCAACTGACGGGAGACCTCATGATTGGTCAAGGACTCGCTGGAGTTGCTTGGCAGGAGGTCAAAACCCCTCTGGATGAGCTGGAGGAGGTGGCTGAATGGAGAATTGAGGATTTCCACGTGATCCTGTCCCTTCTAAACAGCAAATAGACTCTTAGATTAAATGTTTTAATTTGATTTTGTCTTTAAATCTACAGCGGGAAACTTTAATTTTAAAAAAAAGAAGACGGAGAACAGACTCATTGTGGAATCTGAAGAGGGATGTGTTAAATAGCATCTTGAACCATGGTTGATCAAAGAAGATAACGATTTAAGACACACAGCTTTGGGAATCATTTCCTGTACCACTTCTGTTGTCTATAGTTCTTCATGTAAATCAAGTGTTTTCTGTGATCATTATAACGTGTTTTAGTAGTTTATAAAAATCCCCTTAAGTTTGCTTTTTACAACATGAACACTGTATCATTTTATTCCTGGCTGTCATGTGGCCTATAGAGTTTTTATTATGACCTACTTTAGTTCCTCATTTATGCCCCGAGTGGTGATTCGGAGCACGTGCCTGTCATCATGAGGGAGTAATATTTTCTTAGTGAGACCACAAAAGATCACAGCAGCGTTTACCGCTGAGCCAGAGTGTGGTTGGTCTGTGTCTGCGCTGTTAGACGCTCCCACGGGTTAGGATACGACTTCGTTGGTGTGACTCATCACCAGCTAATTAAAGGAATTCACTCATTTGTCAGTTCATATGAAAACTGTTGCTTTGACCCATAATGACAATGAGAGAAGATATCAAAATACAACTTAGAAAAAGTAGAAACTACAAGTTAATTTACAAAACAGATAAAGATCATTTTTGATCAAAATCTCCAAATTTTTTTGGGCTGACAACTAAAGGAAAGTAAATAATTAAAAGTTAGTTGTTTTTTTTTGAATGAACTCTAATAATAAACCTTCCTTTTATGCTGCTGCTCTAAAAATTCTACCTTTCTCATTTTTTTCATATAAATGTGTCTATTTCCTCCATTTGTATTACAATTTTTATATACAAATTTGTTATCATTTTTATTTATTATATTTTTATGTTCTTGTGAAGCCCCTCATGATTTTTATCTTGAGAGACACTATAGAAACTTTCATCGTCTTATTATTATTATTATTATTATTATCATTATTATTATTATGAGATTTGAAAAACTAACATCAGGCATCAATCAGGTGATAACATAAGGTAACAACAAGTTAATAACATAGTGTAACAACATCAGGAAATAACACAGCTTCACAACAGGCTGTAACAACAGAACAAGACAACGCCATGTGCCAATGGCTGTACAACGTGTAAAAACTATATAACCGGTTGACAGGTTGTACTGAGAGAATAAGAACAGCCAGACAGCAAGTTTTAATGATAAACTGACAACATATTTTTGACACATTCGAAACCTCATCATGGTTCGAGTCATGGGGGCCATTCATTTTACAGGAGAGCAAAATAAAAAACTTCATATTTTTGTGAATATGAGGTACACGTGTAAGTCTGAGAAGCTTACTGTACAGGATTGAAGGAACTTGCATGAGTTCTGCTGCTGCAGGCGTAAAACTCAAGAACTTCCCTTGTGTTGTTTTGTAGTTTTTCCAATAAACATTCACCCATAATCTTCATTTACAATGTGAACAAAACACAGAAGAGACTCAGGTTCCTCAGGCTTCTCCACACATGTCTTAGTTCTCAGTTTATGTATCTTTTCTAATTTATTTTGATCTTATTTCTCTTCAGTTTAGTTAAAAATAATAACTTAATTAAATTCTTTCACAATTTTATCTCTACAATCTGTCTGTCCATCCATCTGTCGATGTTAAGGGTGCACAATAAATTGGCATCACCATCGGTATTGGCCCAATAACTAAAACTGGGCCCAAATTACCACCCGATATTTCCATCTAGTTCCAGTTTGTGTATCTGTTTCAGGAGCGGAGTGTGTGTGTGTGGGTACATGGGTGTAACTGTAAATTTAAAAATTAATGTATAATGGCATATAATTATGACACCTGTGAATACCGGATGTTGGTCACAACAGCAATAATAATATCAGAGGTTATGGGCCAAAATCCTTCTGTTGAAGCGTTCATGTTGTATACTCTTTAGTAGGCCGATGGACCCACGGTGTTCATGTCATCATATCAAAACAAAAACAAGGAAGAGTCCCAAGTTAAATCTGTTTCTCGCTTCCAGTTTATGTTCAGTAAAGGTGATGGCTCAGCTAAACTCAGCAAAGTACCAACAACTGTGTCTGTCTGTGGAGGTTTTAAAAGAAGCTTGGAAATAACACGTGCTTAGCATTAACTGATAAATGAATAGGTGTCTTGTTGTCGTGTTGTTTTTCTTGGTTGCAGTCATGTGTTCAGATTGAATAAATGTGGTCTGACTGCATCTTGTTGCTCCATGGACGCAAAAATCAACCATAGTGTTGCTTTTGGAAGGAGAGTGAATCTGGAAAGGATTATTGCTCATTTTAAAGGATATTTATCAGTTTTGCAGAAAGAATTTAGGATCTGGACCAAAATTTGTTAAAGTCCTTTTTCTGCTGAAACGTTGAACAGACACAACCCTGTACGTCATACAATACTCGATTTGATTGATGTATTATCCACCGAACTTTTAAAGCATCACCACAAAGAAAAAATATGTCACTTGTCTCTGCAAAACACACGAATTACCTATACCAGCTTCTAAAGATGAATGCATATTTTTGCGTGTCTGTGATCAGAAGAAAAACTAAAATTTTCAATAAAAACAAATGTACCCATTGTCATTTTGTACCACATGAAAATAAACCTACATCTGATGATCACATCATCATTTTCCTCCTGTAGGTATCAGTAGGATGGGGGGGGGGGGGGGGGGCTCATAAACACGCATGAGACAAATCTACTGTCCGACCACAGGCACGTTATGTCTTAACCTCGGCTGGGCCTCTAGTCGTTCCCTGAACCCTCCGTCTCATGACTGCCTTCTGCTGCACATGTGAACGTACCAAAGTGAAACCACATTTTATTGTTTTTCTTTATTCCCCTCCCTACCCCAAAAAGCTATGACAATAACTGGAAAGCACATGATTGCTGTTGGGTATAAATACATGAAGACACCCGAGCATCGACACATCTCCACTTGCAGCAGCTGTTTTAACAGACTTTGCTCCAGAACCCAACCAGCCACTCAACAGATCAAGATGAAGCTCTGCGTCCTGCTCGCACTTGGAACCCTGACTGTGCTCGTTCACGGTAAGAGCTGCAGGAACATTGACTCTTGCTCCCAGAATAGGAACATTTTGTTGTATTTGCAGGAGAGAAGCAGGAATTTCCTCTGTAAACTGTGCATATCTGGACGAACACTCAAACGAGTTTAAGATACTTAGACATATTTTGTATGAAGCTAAAATCAAAGAAAATCCTGTCTTGAATTCTAGAAACACTAAAGACTTGAGAAAATGTGGCATAAATGTGTTGCAAAGGAATCACATCCCATAATAAGCACTTAGAACAGGGATCCTTGAGCTTCTTTTGCATTTATTAAGATCTGTGAATGCAAGGGTGGTTCTAGCAGGGGTCCAGCAGGGGCCAGTGCCACCCTGACAGCAGGATTGGACCCCCCAAGTGTTTTTTTTATATAATTATATCTAAACCTGTTTTATCTATACCTGTAACTGAATGACTGTTATTATGCTGTTGTAATTACTCAGTAAGAGTTGAACTACTCAAAGGCATGTTTATGATGTTTTCCTGCAAACGTGCCTCTCTAACAGAGCAGCTGGCCCCCCACCTGGGCCCCTCTAATATTAGTCTAGAACCTCCCAAGCTCGAACGCTTCACAATTAGCTTTGAGTGAACAGTAAAATAATTGTTGGACGTGATGAAACACGCTGAGCGAGGCGAGACGGAGATGTCAGAATCTGATTTATGAGTTAGTTCTCAAACAAACAGCAACACGATTTATTCCTCCTCGTTTGGGACTTACATGTTTTAATCTGTCCATTTATGCTCATTAACAATCTATAAAAGCTCAGAAATTAAGCCTCCGTGTGTGTTCATGACAGGAATGCCGCCAATCAACAGAGATTTCAACACACACTGTCGGTGCCTCCAGTTTGAGTCGAGGATGATCCCCCCGCAAAGCCTGAAAAGCATCAAGCTGGTCCCAGAGGGCCCCCACTGCACCGAAACCGAAGTCATGTGAGTCAAATTCTCAGATTTGTTCAACCAGGTCTCGCTGTCTGGATGACTTTAATTCACCCAAGAAGTCACTTGGATAATAATATTTAACTCTATAATTAGTGTTTTTAAATGATAACATTTATGTCTAAGCACCATAAAAAGTGTCTGAGTTCAAAAAATGTATTCACTCATTTAACGAATATATGCCGATAAAGTCAATGTATCATTGTAAATATAGAAATAAACAGCATTTATACATTACAACAAAATGTTTTCTTCTACAGAAAAAAACAATGTAATTTATTCATGTTCATCTTAACTATCTATTCTTATTTTATTTATATTTATTTTGTATATTCATTTTTATTACCTAATATTACACTTCATCTTAGCCTTTTATTTTATTGTAAAGAATTTTCAAACTGTGGAGAACAATTATCTGAATTTGTATTTATTTATTGGGGGAAGGTCCTAAATGGATTTAATTTAATTCCTCTGATTTCTTATCAATTCTTCATAATTTTGATTTCTGCCTCAACTAGTTAGTATTAAATGTTTTCTCTTTTCTTAATGACGTTTTAATGATTTCTATAATGAATTTTTTTATTAATGAATTAATCTTTTATATAAACTGTCCTGTGTGACCTTGTAAAAATCCTACATGAGCAGAAATGACAATTGAGAAGCTGAATATTCATTTATTTCTTGAAATTGTGAAATCAAATCAATTATTTATAATTATATTAAAATCCTTATATTAAACTATGCTTTTTTTTTACTTTAGTTGATTCTCTTTAATATTACACAGATTATAATTTATTCAGCATTGTTTGAATTTATTGCGTTATAACCAACCCCCTAACACAACACAACTGACAATTATCTGCTAGATTTCTGACATTTTACATGAAAAACTCAATAAAAACGTCTGCTGAGAAACAATCCAAACTTTGAATCTTTCGCAACATTTCCAATGGAAAACCAGCGCCTACCGGTACTCTCAGTAATCTCAGTTCCAATCAGTTCTGTGTGGGCGGGGCCACGTGACAAGCAGAAATCCAGGAATGTCGTCAAAGAAACTCTCACCGTGCCAAGTCAAAAGCTTCAGGCGTGGGCGAGGATGCGAGTTGTAGCCTGCTGATTGTCTCTGTTTTTAACCTCAGAGCCAGCCTGACGAGCGGGGCGGACGTCTGTCTCAACCCCGAGTCCCCCTGGGTGAAGAAGCTGGTCCAGTTTGTCCTGGAGAAGCAGCTGCAGAAGAAGAAAGCTGCTGCTGCTGAGAAACGGGCCTGATGGACCCAAACGGACCTGCAAACATAAGCAGGAGATCTGACACCATGAGCCACTTTATATCCAAACGCACTGATGTGTAACTAACTTCCTGTTATTTTAACTTTCATGTCTGTTCAGACTGTACTTCTACTGTTTTTCTAGTGATCATTTCTTACACTTTGCTTGATCAGTTGTGTTTTTACGGGGTCTGTGCAAAATAACGTGGCAGAAAAAGATGAGTGAATGTAAAATAAAAGTGTTTAAAACTCTGATTTACTAAAACATGCATGTGTATATATCATAAAGCAAGCATGTAGCTTTGTTATATGTAACACGGTGGGGTTTTAATTATTGCTAAAACATTTTATTCTTCTTTCATACAGTTTTATAAAAATAAAACACATTGGGAGTTGTTTAGAGGGAAAAAGATTAAATGTAGCATGAAGATTTTAATAAAGTTTACATAAATGTTAAATATGTGATTTAGTGCCTGACTTCTTTGGATGTAGATGGCGTTGAGTTAAAGCTTCTACACCTGTGGTAAGAATGTTTGATCTGATGTGTTTGCACGAGTAATAAATATGTGAACAGCATTAATCTCTGGTGGTGGGAGATTTCCACAGCGTTCACTGGTTACAACAAAGAAACCCAAAAAGGAACGTTGGGATTGTTCCAAGTCCACAAAGCTTCCATGTCTATTCCATAACCGCTAACATCTTGGGTGGGAGAGAACTCCATTTTTACATCCTAAACCCTCCCACTGTCCTAATGGGTGTCCATGTGGCAAGAGAGAGCACCACCTCACCCCTGCCACATGGACCTCAAGGGATAAACCATCAATTCTGCTCAATGGTCAGCTTTCCTTGCGGGGTCACAACCATTAGGACAGTGGGAGGGTAATACCATTTATATGTAAAACTATAAAAATTAGAATATGGTGTAAAAGTCCGTTTATGTCAGGAATCCATCTTAGACTGAGAAACCATCTAAAGGCTCAGGAACCCTTTGCAGGTGTTCTGGATTCATTATCTGATTAAAGTGTGACACTTTGGGTCTGGAATAAGCACAATGTTATAAGTGTCTTAGATCTTGATAAACTGTAAGTTGTAGTCATCACAATCATAACAAATAAAGGCTGAAATATCTGGATTTACATGGAAAGAGTCTATATCATAGATTAGTTTCACCTTTTAATTAAATTGTTGACAAAAATAAAATTCAGCTGCTTATTCTAATTTTTAGAGTTTCACCTGGATATCACCAAAAGTGAAAGTTCAATTAGATCAACTTCCAGTTTTTATTTAATTTAATAATATAGTAAAAAAAATCTGATTTTTAAAAAATCTCAAAGGGATGAATGAATGAAAATTAATTTACCCATTAACTAACAGAGAGATCACACTTTAGTTCCTATATCTCATTGAAGCATGAATACAGGTAAAAATATCTACTATACTAAAATTATTTTTTAAATGTGTACATTTTTAACATAACTTATTATTATCTCAATAATATGATGGTTTTATATTCATTTAAATCATATTATAACCCATAATGCACTGATTGAATAAAAAAATGCAACAAAATCCTTATTTTCTTGGTGCACTGTCACAAATAAACCGTTAAATTTACTTAACCAAGTTTCGGCAACTGATTCCACTAAACCTAGTTTAGGTGCACGTAAAGAGTAATATACATTTAGTGTGTGACGTGACAAAATTGATTTGTTCATGACTTATCTTTATTTTCTTTAATTTTTCATACATTGAGCGTTTTCTGGAAATAATTTGTACTCATATAGATGCTAAAAACCTTTCTGACTGTCACTTGTCAAAGTCTCAGTTCACAAGAGAAACATGTCGTGCAAGAACGGAAAACATAGCAGAGTCACCTTTGTCACACTGCTGCGGGAAACAAGAGCTCAGAGCAGGATTTCATCTCAGATGAAAAAGTCAAAGAAGGCCGACCATGTGAGCTCCCCTCCTGAGTTAATTACTAAAGTTTTTCTTTAATAATACATGAAACCAGAGAAGCGTTGTTTTAGATCTTATCTCACTGAGAACAAGTTTAACGTCCAAAATGTGACAAAAAAGTTGAGTTATGAGAAGTTCAACTTCCTCCCAGAATATCAAATGGTATTTTGTTTTATTACATCATAACATCAACTGGCATACCGTAAATCCTCTAATATTAGCCTGTATTCAATTAATGGCCGGGTATCACACTTTGGCCGGTGTCGGAGTCGGCGGAGGTGAATAATGGACTGTTTTTTATTGTGGCCGGGTGGAATGTGGTAACAAGCAAGTACCACAGGGGCCGGTTGTGTCATCCGTCTCACTTTTGATTTGCCAGTGATAGACCGCGAGGGTAACTACCTGTGTGGAGACGAGGAGGAGGCGAAAATTTGATATCAAGTTCAAAGAGAACGTGCTGATTATGCTGCAGAACACTCTGGGGAGCAGTAACAGGGGTTGTATGAACTAGTCACTAGTCGACTTCACCGCTCTATAGTGACTTTTTATGCCTTTCATCGACTAGTCGCTGTCACGTGATAATGACCGGCAAGATGCAGTCCACGGAAAAGACAGCAGCCTGCTGTCAGCAGGTGACAAGCTCCTGCGCGTCGGGAGGCAACTCGCTGTGCCAGAGCGTCGGTACTGACACCCGCCGTAAAACGGACATTTAACCAAATTGTGACGTTTACCCTCTTGCAATTTAACCTTCCCCTCACCCCCATCCTAACCTTAACCAGCTTGCGCATGCAAAGCTCTGATTGTTGACGCGCTCCAGACATCTGCGTCCTAAGCATGGCCACAGTAACATTATCAAATCAGGTGTCGCCACCTCAAAAACAAATTTAACACGCTATCGTTCATGTCGGCTCATTTCCTTTTATGTTTTCTGTCTTTTATTCTTTTATTTGTGCCTGATGCGTTTCGCTGCTGTGGATCGGGGCGCATCACCTGTTTTGTCCTCTGTGACGCACCTAACTGATGTGGCCGGCGAGCACTCCGCTGTTTTTGCGGTCGGTAGATCTTTTAGAACTGCTGTTCAAAGGTAACTCATGAGGTGAATATATATGAACCCAGGTAGCAGTTTTTCTTTAGGATTGAGAGGAGATGCAGGAAGATAATAAACAGGCAGGACAGAAAAATAGTCAAATAAAAACAAGTTAGTTTTTGTACCTGGTGGTTGCAACAGACACCATTGAAGGTAATCAGAAGTGAGGAACAGAAAATGAAATAATTATTTTAATGTTTAGAGCAGCAGGAACTCCGAGAGGCTGCAGGCGCATCAGTGAGTTTGCGGCCGCTGCGCAGGGGGAGGGGGGGGGAGGGCTGAAGCAGAAACTACCGTTGTTAAAAGAAATGTGTTTAACTTTGAAAATGTGGGCGCAATTTTAATTGTCAAAAACTCCAGCGAACCATTAGTTCATTTTGCTCAAAGAGAAATTGAGGCCTGCCTCTAATAAAGGCCTGGAGCTTGATGAGCTTGCGTAAAATACAGGCCCGGGCCTGTATTAGAGGATTTACGGTAAATTAAACAGATCTGGTTGGAATAAAATGTCAATCAAAACAAGCAAAATTATAAATCAGATAAATGTGATCTGAGGTTTACACTTTTATTTAAAAAAATTTTATCAATCAAAAAGAAACATTAGGAAAACTCCTTTGTCATAAATCATTCTTTTATTCAACAATTAAAACATTTGAATAAAGAAAAATAAAGCAGATCTCTTGTGGGAATGAAGTAATGTTTGATTTAGCTTTTCTGTTTCCATGTGAAGTTTAACTCTGGAGAGAAATGCTGATTAAAACTACATTCTGAGAAAGATACTGGTATCGGTAAAAGTTAACCGATACCAGGAACCAGTACCAATGCAGCTGCCTGAAAGTGGCTTTACTGTAACTAGTCATTTCTGTTCACCTAATATTTTAGTTTTGTGATCATTTCTATTACAGTTTTTTTCGATTGCTAAAACTCAAAAAGCAAAAATGAGGCACAATTTTCACAACCTCTACTTCTGTTCCCAATCGCTTGACTCAATTTATCACTACTTAAGATTTCTTTATCACATTAGAACTCTGATTTTCCTCCTTTACACTCTGATGTCAATTTCACATCACCTTGCTGTCAAAACACAGCACACAATTTTCAGGTTTACACACACTTTCCACATAAATTCTCAAAGCTTCAATCAACAACACACAAATATTCAAATCTCTAAACTTTCGGGTCTGGCGAGCAATTTGCAATCAGGGACTGCAGCATAAAAGTAAGTTTCCACAAGGCTACCCAGGTGTAGGAGTGGTTTCAGGACCACCCACGGTTTTCCATTTTATACCTTCCACCTTATTCCCCCTTCCTCAATCCCACTGAGGAGTTTTTCTCAGCCTGGAGGTGTAAGGTGTACGAAAGGAATCCACAGAGCAAGGTCCCACTGCTTCAAGCCATGGAGGAGGCTTGTCTGTTTGTCTCAGAGAAAAGTGGGCACTGTCTGAATGAATGAATTCATTGTGTTCCCTTTCGACAATTGTGTTTTCAGTTTTGCTCTTCAGTGTTCTTTCCATGCTTGGTAGTGTTCACCCAAAGGCTACTTGTGCTTAAGCATTGAATGGTATGTGTGTGTCATGTGAAAATGTGGCTGTGTTTACCAAATGAAAACACGTGTTCCATTTTGGGAACATGTTACGATACGTGGTGGCAGGGTTTTGTTGCAAAGGGAAGCCACGGTTTAGGAATTTGTGTGTTATGTTTGGGGTTTTGTGTGTGCAGTTTTGAAAGAAACGTACAGTTTTGCAAAACGCGTTTTAGCAATCGAAGAAAACTGTAATACATTTTGTTGTTTTTCTACCTCACAGTCTTTTCCTGTTGAAAGCAGAGAAGAATATAAAACCTGTATTCCAATTCACTGCATTTTTTTGTGTAGAAGTATCGGTATTGGTGAGTACGCAGATATAGTAGCGTATAGGTTTGGGGAAAAGTGGTATCGTTGCATCCTTATTTTAGAACCCTTTAGGTTAAGTGGAACCAGTTGGCGTGATTTAACTAAGTAAATATAACCTTACAATTTTTTACAGTATAGGACAGAAATCAAATCTTCTCCATTATGGGAATTCGAAGAGAGATTTAGAAAAACACAATATTAATTTTAAAGATGTAGCTGGAAATGTAAACGTTTGCAGAAGAATAGAAAAAAAGGAAACAATAAAGGGGCTCAGACTTCACACAATAAACTGAATATTACAGTAATATAAGAAATAAAACTGGCCCTTTTCCACCTGTCAATCCTCCACTAGGGGGCAGCAGACATAGGACTGGATCTGGCAGGTTTCTGATGAAGGTACTAATCCTGATATTCCATCTGGGTGCTTTGGACGATTGTTCTATCGTGAATTTTACAGCAGAATTTCTTACATTTGCAATAAACTGAAATGTGCTTGAAGCATTTTTTATTCGTAAACAAAATAATTAATGACGGCAGTACCAACCACACATCTGTGCACATCCTTTTCTTATCAAAATGTTTTGATTAAAGAGGAAAACTTGATGCATCTTGTTACTGATTCCTATTGAAGAGTTTTTATATCAGATCTGTCTAAAAAAACTTCTTTAAACAATCTGAGCTTCACTGCAACACAAAGAGCTGATTATACAGATGTGGCAGCAGCTGTAACTGGATACTGCAGCATGCCTGAATATTTGTTGGAGAAGAACCAGCTGACCTGATGTGAACGTTTCTGGGTTTTGGGGGAAAAAAATGTAGTTATTGTGTAAAAGGGGGGTTACATTAAGTCCCTGTGTACACAGCAGGATCGTACATGTTTGTTTTGAACATTGTAATCTGTGTGGGGGGATGGTGGGGACACGATATTTTACGTTTTGTGTGAAAATGAGTCCAGGACTACAAATGTGCTTCATGAAAGTGATGTCATCTAACCAGACATGGAGAATAACAGAGTGGAAAATGGCTCTAAGTAAACTTAAAATCCTTCCTTCGGGAGGAGAGAACCACCATAAACCTGGCCATGTGGTATAGCAGCTACGCTACAGAGAAGATTATGTGGTGATGTCATATGTGCAAAGTGACTATATCTAATTTGTAGTCATGCTAATTACAAACTTTTACAAGCTGGTGAATCTCAAAGTAAGTGACAGGTCAAAACAACCATGATTAGTTTCATTTAAATTGCAGCACAACATATGTGTGATCCAGGACGTGAGGCAAAGCGGATTAGAAAATAGCGTTTTTAGTCCCATTGACTTGAATTCATTTATTCGTTCTTCCGGGGACCTGTGAGCTGACCGGAAGGGAGGAGACTTAGGCTTCCTATTGACATCGACATTAGAAAATCCATACGTCTGACTCAGAACTCTGGCTGCTAATTATTGAAGTATCAGGGTTTATAGTTTAATAGTATATGAACTTTTTTACACACCCGTTGGTCTATTGTTGTGATTAGAAAGGATGAATATTCAATGCATCCTGTGGAAAAATGCACCGGCAACATTTAAAGAATAGGCAGTTTCCCCAGTGAGCCCAATGTCCAAGCGCGGTGGCAGCAGCATCATGTGGGCACGCTTTACTGCAACATCAGGACAAATATTACAAATCATTTCCACATCATTCAGGATCTCAGGTGGAGCTGAAGGTCTTAACAGGGTAACTCCAAGAACGGATCAAACACAAATCACAACAAAATCAAAAACATTGGATTTGAATCCAGCAAATCTGTGTTTAAACATTCCCCCTATAACCTGACTCTGCTCATTCCTGTTTAGTCAATGCTGTACCCCCTAAATAATGTTAATGTCCTCCCAGATGCATTTCTGTAAAAGCGTTGACATTTATCGCATCATTAATCGTCGCCCTGAGGCTGTGCTGCAGCAGGAAGTGGTGCAGAATCTCCTGCTGGGATTGTGTAACCCTTTGATGCAGGAAACCAGGCCTGCAGGGCATGTGTCCAGCTGCTGGTCTCACAGAAAGTCAACAGGATTTCAAACACTGTAGATACAGAAATAAAAATTACAAACAAAACCAAAAGAAGTTCAAAAGAGGTCTTGTGAGTGATGATCTTTTCCTGCCTTGATTCACTGCAAGAATCTTTGAGTGGAAATTCTTGCTGTTGTTTTTCTTCACCATGAACTCGTCAATGGGGAGCCTGGCCGTGCGGACGCTTAGCTCTCCGGCTCTGGACAGACTCAGCTTCTGCAGTGGAGACAGAAAACCAAATAAAAATCATCAGTACATCTGACTGAGTGACATGTTTGGTTCTTCAGTTACTAAATATCTGAGTACCTTCTGGATGCTTTCATCCACAAGACCACCGAGGACATACACCCTGTCAGCGTCCAGCGTCTCTAAAGCTAAAGAAAATAACAAGAAACTGTCTGAAATGTTTTACTTAGAAACATTTTCTATAGTTTTAATATTTCTAGTGGATTTTTGCAGCCTTTCATCAAAGTTTCTATTGCTATTGAGTAAATTGTGATTATAGTGCGCCCTCTGTTGGCCAAAATGTGTAACGACAAAAACACGACACCTAGTGAAAAGGTAAAAAATCTGACAAACCTTCCTCTGCATCTGGGGTGAGGTAGACTACCGTTTCTGCGGGGAATAAGTCTAAACAGCTTTGTTCTGTTATTTCCATCTAAAAGGAAAAAAAATATTATTTCTGGTTTTAAGTAAAGTAACAAAAAAAAAAATCAAAAACTAAGAAAAGACTATTCTTTAAGAATCTAAAGAACAATAACCACCAGGTAGTTGAGGAAGCCGTCATTCATGCGAACACACTCCCTGTAGAGGCGACTGTCCTCCCTCAGGTCCGTCAGGATCAGGCGAAACGGATGAGTCGCCCTCTTATTGGACCCGTACAGGCGTCGTAACTGGCCCGCCAGTCGGCTTATCTCCTGACCCAGAGCACAAGAAACATCTCTGACTGGAAACCAGAACTCCCACCACACCATGATTCTAATCAGGTGGGCTAACGGTGTAAGGGTTGATCAGCAGCCTCTCACCTTGTCTGACATGAAGTCAGTCATGCTGAGATCGACACACAGCCTGAGTCCAGTGGACTGAGACTCAGCAAGACGCTCTTTGGTGATCGCCTTCTGGACACGTTTGGAGAGTTGAGTATGGTCTGAGTCAGAATCTGTATGAAGAAATAAAAGCAAATAAAACAAAAATGACTTCATTTATGATCCTAGAAGTTGATTTTTCACTTGTTCCTACCAAACTCCTGCAGACGATTGAATCTCCTCCTCCGTTTCTCCTCTTTCCTCCTGCTCTTCCTGGCAGCCAGCTGCCTCTCCCAGTTCCGCTGCTTCCTCAGAACATTCCTCTAGGGATGGACAATATATCAGCATCAATATCGGTATCAGCCGATGTTAGTCATTTTTTACATATCGGTATCGGTTCCATAAATAACACCGGGCTGATATTAACAACCAATATTTTTTCCATCTCGTCTCCATTTGTTTGCCTGTTTCGGAGGGTGAGGGGGTGATGTGTAATTGTTTAGTCATGTGAACAGTGAATGTAATCATCTCAGAACCGTAAATGTTGTGTTGTGTGTACACAATAACATAAATTCAGCTTTAATAAATTTCATTCTATACAAAATCTGCTGATTTTAGAAGCAATAATGTCAGTATATCGGTATCGGCAAATATTGGTTATCGGCCATAACAGTGATCTTAAAATCGGCTATCGGTAACGCCCCAAAAATGCCATATCGGTGGCGCATCACTACATTCCTCTGTTCATCAAGCAGAAATTAATAACCCTATTGAGGTTTTAACAGCACAGATAACGTCACAAAGTCTTAAAACTATTTAGGAATCTAGGAAAACAGATTGATAATAAATTACTATTGATTTCCCTGAGCACCAATTAGTAAAAATAAATAAGAAAGTATTTTATAAACAATAACCAGTGCTTTAATTTAACCAACCATGGGCATTTAGAAATAAATGAAAATGATTTAGCAGCTTGGATAAACAAACGTTTCTGGAGTCGTTAAAATGTATGTATCTTGATCACTGAATTAGAAAGAATTCATAAATATGGTTCAAATATCAAATACAATTTACAACAGCAAGAAAAAAACGCGATTTTCTGCCTGTAGATCAGATCTAGTCAGAAAATAACCATTTTATTAACAGTATTTCAGAGTGTAAATATCAAAGACACGTAAGATTGCTTTAATTTACAGAAATATTTGTGTTTATTGAGCAGATCGCTGGTACAGCTAACAAATCAAACTAATACCTACTGAACACGCTGTATCTTCTCTCCCAGCACGCTTGTCCTCCACATCATCCTCAAGGTCTATATGAAGAAGATCTATCACCTCTGAAAGTCCACTCCGCTGCGTTTCACACATTTCTGATCAAATGAAAGTCAGCTGCTGCTCTGCAGAATAATAAAAAACACTTTTTTGTCCTTTAAATGTCCAAATACTTCTACAGACTTATGAAATACGCATTGTTTCACGTCTTTGCTTAAAAAATACTTCAAATATGTTTTTAAACCCACAAAGTAAAGAAACAAACAAAAACATACCTGACATAACCTTTTTCTGTTTCTACAGTTTCTGGGCATGCCTAGTTTGGAACGTGTGTCTCGTGTAAATGACGTCATCGTAAAACAAGGAAGTAATGGTTGAATGTATTTAGCGTAAATTTATTTACTGCATAAGTAACACGTTCAGTTTAATCGTTTTCTATTTTTATGCTGTAGTTACAGTTAAAATGTTTACCACAACTGGTTATTGTTTTTGATTATGTCAAAGTTTCATTTCTATTGTTTCACCAGAAGAGGGCACTGTAAAGATGTACAAGAGTTTAAAACAGAATAAAGAACTGTGTAACGCTTACACATGAATACACAGGTAATAAAAATGTGAACACTAAAAATAGCTTTACTGATATTTTAAACAAAAGAAAGAATGAAAAAATAACAAACACAACATTTTGTTTTTCTTCATGTAACATAAAAAAATCTGCGGCTTTATGCTTTTTTCTCCTAAAATATGTCACCCAACAAGACACATTGTCAAAGATTTGAAAAATATTTAAAGAGCGTGAAAGATATTTTTGGGTGAAACGATTTTCCAGGTAGGAACCTTTTATTTTCATTTTTGAGTAGGAAACAGAAAAGCCTCGCACCCGATGACTTTAACTATTTTAACATTAATATAAAAATATTTCACTCTTTTATTTAATAGCACATTATTGCTTCATCAGATGTATAACCATGACATAAATATAAAGTCAATGTGCATATTTTCAGAATAGTGTACGTTTTCGTTCGTAAATTGTTGAATTTGATCTGTTTTATAGCTAGCATTTGAGGCTAAGACATCCTTCGTGATTCCACAGCAGCCAATCAGAGACGCAAAGTCGGGTCCAGAGACCGAAATGGGTTGTGGGTATTACAAATAAAAATATTTTGTGACTTAATTTACTGTTTCATACTTTTATGTTTGAAGAAAGAATTATGCATAGGTTACTTAACTATTATCAGTCTCACGATGGGCACATAAATGACTGGAAATTGTTTTTTGACAAATGTCAGTATTTTAAAACTCTCAATTTCTAACATCAAAATTGCGTAGAACTTTAACGTATAATGTATTTCACATTGTTTATTCAATTTATTTGCTTATTTGACTTTAGACTTGCTTTACTATAGTTAGACTTTCATTTTATGCTAAACACGTGACTGCACCATGACTGAGCGTTGCAGAGCGCTCGTACCTATGCGTCAGAAACAGGGAGTACAGGTTAAGACTATACTTTCAGGGATCATTTCTATAGTTTATAACTTGAGAAATGTGCTCCTAAAGTGAATAGTCTCGTCAACCACGATGATGAGGTGTTGATACTTCCTCTTGAGCGCGAAGCGGAAAAAGGGAAATGATTAATTTCATATGCCTTTCTTCTTTGATGACCGTTCACTGTTACCTTGGTAACAGCGAGGGAGGGAGTGTGATCAGAGTGGTTCTCACTTTATAATTGTAAATGAAAATTCAGGTGACTAGTAATGAGTGAAAAAGAATGCCATGTAGTGATGGGAATTCCGGCTATTTTTAGAGATCCGGTTCCTTTGGCTCAGCTCACCAAAAAGAGCCGGCTCTTTCTGCTCCCAAGTGGCTCCTCGGATTTTCTGTTGCGTAGAGTACATTTATAACCAAAATAATGCAGAACTATGTGTAAAATAATTTACTAATCTAAAACAAAGCAATATATCAAATGTTTATAATTTCTATGGATTTAATAACTGAACACTTTAAGAAATCTTCACTTTCCGACTGCTGGCGCTCATTTTCTCACCGTCTTCGTCGCACTCTCCTCCCTTTCCTTTTTCCTCCTCCTCCTCATTCCCTCTTGTCTCCCTCCACCCGCATGTGCTCTGCTGTGTGTCTGTCTGAGTCTGATCCTCCCTCTTCCCCGCCCCTACTGCTTTGTGTGTGGACAGTCTGGACACACAGTTACACATGTTGACCAGTCGCCTGTAGCTTTCACCAAGGCAGGGGGGGAGGGGACGGCTCCCAATGACGAGCCGGCTCCCGTCGTTCACTTCAAAGAGCCGGTTCGTTCGTGACCGACACATCACTAATGCACTGGCAGTGCTAACAATGTCATCACGAGCAACGATTTCTAACGTAGTGATGGGAATTCCGGCTCTTTGTAGAGAGCTGGTTCTTATGGCTCAGCTCACCAAAAAGAGCTGGCTCTTTCGGCTCCTCAGATTTTCTGTGGCGTAGAGTACATTTATAACCAAAATAATGCTAAACTATATGTAAAATAATTTACTAATGTAAAAAAAAAGAGCAATATATCAAATATTTATCATTTCTATGGATTTAATAACTGAACACTTTAAGAAATCTTCACTTTCCGACTGCTGGCGCTCACTTTCTCACCGTCTTCGTCACACTCTCCTCCCTCTCGCTCGCCTTTTCCTCCTCCTCATTCCCTCTCGTCTCCCTCCTCCCACATGTGCTCTGCTGTGTGTCTGTCTTATCCTCCCTCTTCCTACTGCTCTGTGTGTGGACAGTCTGGACATACAGTTACACATGTTGACCAATCGCCTGTAGCTTTCACCAAGGCAAGGGGGGAGGGGAGGGGACGGCTCCCAATGATGAGGCGGCTCTCGTTGTTCACCTCAAAGAGCCGGTTCGGTCGCGACCGACACATCACTACTAAAGAGACTAGGGGAATTTGATGGTACCGTTACATTTTAGTGGTTACGATGCAGCTCATCAAGTCCTTCAGAAGCTTGTTAATCACTTAGTGATGACTCTTTCGTGGGAGCCGTTCGTTAGTCTGTTGTTTACTAGTGATTGGAATTAGTGATGGGAATTACGGCTCGTTTTAGAGAGCCGGTTCTTTTGGCTCAGCTCACCAAAAAGAGCCGGCTCTTTCGGCTCCCAAGTGGCTCCTCAGATTTTCTGTTGCGTAGAGTCCATTTATAACCAAAATAATGCAAAACTATATGTAAAATGATTTACTAATCTAAAAAAATGCAACATATCAAATATTATTTATATGGATTTAATAACTGATCAGTTTAGGAAATCTCCACATTCCGACTACTGGCGCTCATTTTCTCACCGTCTTTGTCGCTCTCTCTCTCTCTCTCTCTCTCTCTCTCTCTCTCTCTCTCTCTCTCTCTCTCTCTCTCTCTCTCTCTCTCTCTCTCTCTCTCTCTCTCTCTCTCTCTCTCTCTCTCTCTCTCTCTCTCTCTCTCTCTCTCTCTCTCTCTCTCTCTCTCTCTCTCTCTCTCTCTCTCTCTCTCTCTCTCTCTCTCTCTCTCGCCTTTTTCCTCCTCCTCATTCCCTCTCGTCTCCCTCCACCCGCATGTGCTCTGCTGTGTGTCTGAGTCTGATCCTCCCTCTTCCCCCCCCCCCCCCCCCTACTGCTCTGTGTGTGGACAGTCTGGACACGCAGTTACATATGTTGACCAATCGCCTGTAGCTTTCACCAAAGCAAGAGGGGAGGGGGGAGGGAAGGGAAGGGGACGGCTCCCAATGACGAGCCGGCTCCCGTTGTTCACTTCAAAGAGCCGGTTCTTAGAGCCGGTTAGTTCGCGACCGACACATCACTAATTGGAATTCCGGCTCTTTTTATAGAGCCGGTTCTTTTGGCTCAACTCACAAAAAAAGAGCCGGCGCTTTATAAAAGCATAAGGCTAAAATACATAAATATAATTTTACTTACCAAAACAAATGAAGTGGAGACTCCTTGGATGCTCTATTAGTGCAATTAATGCCACAGCAAGTCATTTTGTCCAACAATTGCATAAATAATATCCAAAAAAGAACGCACAAACGTTACAACTAATGGTCTAAGTTGAGAGACTGAAACTGACGGAACAGTTTTCAGGTGAGGCCAAGGCTCAGACTGAGGCCTTTCCCCAGAGCTAGCTCTGCGGTCACGTGGGTTGGATGCTCATTAATTATACAGAATTTTAGGCTTTTAATACACTTAAACAGAAGAGTGAGAAAAAAATTCACCCCCCTCAGAGTTGTCATGAGTGTAAACTAGATCATTTAAACAAAAAACATGTTTTGATACCAGGCTGTAAACATGTTTATTCCTGTTGTGAAATTGGTATTTTTAACATGGGAGTCAATGAGGATTTGCTCGCTTCTGACACCAGCCCCCAGCGGATGAGGGTGGAACTGCAAATTATTTCATTTCCGCATTGGCCTCACTTTCTGTCCCACATTGTGGGGGCTTGGTCTGAGTCTGATCCTCCCTCTTCTCCGCTCCCACTGCTCTGTGTGTGGACAGTCTGGACACGCAGTTACACATGTTGACCAATCGCCTGTAGCTTTCACCAAAGCAAGAGGGGAGGGGAGGGGACGGCTCCCAATGGCGAGCTGGCTCCCGTTGTTCACCTCAAAGAGGCTCTTAGAGCCGGTTCGTTCGCGACCGACATATCACTATCGTTCACCTCAATGAGCCGTCCTGCTGGACGTGACTGCAGCCTTTGACACTGTTGACCATCACCTGCTACTGGAGAGGCTGAGAGACTGGGTAGGCATATCAGGAACTGCTCTGGAGTGGTTCTCCTCTTATCTTTCTTAGCATTCCTTTTCTGTGGCCATCTCCAAGTTTAGGCCCTCCACCACCTCCCTTACCCATGGTGTCCCACAAGTTTCTGTGCTGGGGACTCTGCTCTTCCTACTCTATCTGCTCCCTCTTCAGCACATCCTGAGCTCCTTCAAAGGAATCTCCTTGTCTAAGCTGCAGCTGTTACACACCTGCTTAGACTCTATTAAAACCTGGATGGCTGGGAGTTTTCTACAGCTGAATGAAGATAAGACTGAGATCCTCATCTGTGCCCTGGACAAGCTGGTTGCCAAAGTCAGCTTGATCAGCTTGCTTCTCACACCAAACCTTCCGTCAGGAATCTTGGCATGACCTTTGACCCAGCTCTCACCCTGGATTCTCATGTCAGTTCTCTTGTTCGCTCTTCCTTCTTCCATCTCAGGAACATTGCTAAGCTGAGTCCCATTCTGTCCCGCTCTGAACTTGAGACAGTTATCCACACCTTCATCTCCTCACGCTTAGACTACTGTAACTCTCTTTTCACGTGTCTGAGCAAAACCTCCCTGAACCGTCTACAGGTGGTTCAGAATGCCTGTGCTCGGCTTCTGACCAAGTCCTCCAAATACACCCACATCACCCCTCTTCTCCTCCAGCTTCACTGGCTGCCAGTCAACTTCAGGGTTCATTTCAAGATCCTGGTTCTGGTCTATAGGGCCCTACATGGACAAGCACCATCTTACATTGGTGATCTTCTTAGTCCCTACACCCCCAGCAGGTCCCTGAGGTCCAGTGATCAAAGCCTACTGGTTGTGCAGCACCAGGCTAAAGACCAAAGGTGACAGATCATTTGCTGCTGTGGCCCCCAGACTCTGGAACTCTCTCCCCCGAGCCTGAGATCAGTGGTCTCCTTTAAAAAGCAGCTGAAAACTCACTTGCTCAAGCTGGCTTTTGTATGACCTTCTTCACCACTCTCTCCTTATTCTGCTCTCCCCACCTATTCCACCGTCCTCAGGATCCACTGATTCCCCTCTTTCCTGTTCACTCTCTCACTTTCTTAAAAATTTTTGAATCACAATTGTCTATTTTGTTGCTCATTTTAAATATATTTTTGACCATTTTCTAAATTCTTTTTTATATTTTTACATTTTTTGTTTTTTGTGAAGCACCTCGTGATTTTTATCTTGAGAGGCGCTATAGAAATGATATTTTCTTCTTTCTTCTTCTTCATTTGTTAGCCTGTTTCGGAGGGTGAGGGGGGTGATGTGTAATTGTTTAGTCATGTGAACAGTGAATGTAATCATCTCAGAACCGTAAATGTTGTGTTGTGTGTACACAATAACATAATTTCAGCTTGAATGATTTTCATTCCATACAAAATCTGCTCATTTTAGAAGCAATGTCAGTATATCGGTATCGGCAAATATCTGTTATCGGCCATAACAGTGATCTTAAAATCGGCTATCGGTAACGCCCCAAAAATTCCATATCGGTGGCGCATCACTACATTCCTCTGTTCATCAAGCAGAAATTAATAACCCTATTGAGGTTTTAACAGCACAGATAACGTCACAAAGTCTTAAAACTATTTAGGAATCTAGGAAAACAGATTGCTAATAAATTACTATTGATTTCCCTGAGCACCAATTAGTAAAAATAAATAAGAAAGTATTTTATAAACAATAACCAGTGCTTTAATTTAACCAACCATGGGCATTTAGAAATAAATGAAAATGATTTAGCAGCTTGATACAAACGTTTCTGGAGTCGTTAAAATTTATGTATCTTGATCACTGAATTAGAAAGAATTCATAAATATGGTTCAAATATCAAATACAATTTACAACAGCAAGAAAAAAACGCGATTTTCAGTCTGTAGATCAGATCTAGTCAGAAAATAACCATTTTATTAACAGTATTTCAGAGTGTAAATATCAAAGACACGTAAGATTGCTTTAATTTACAGAAACATTTGTGTTTATTGAGCAGATCGCTGGTACAGCTAACAAATCAAACTAATACCTACTGAACACGCTGTATCTTCTCTCCCAGCACGCTTGTCCTCCACATCATCCTCAAGGTCTATATGAAGAAGATCTATCACCTCTGAAAGTCCACTCCGCTGCGTTTCACACATTTCTGATCAAATGAAAGTCAGCTGCTGCTCTGCAGAATAATAAAAAACACTTTTTTGTCCTTTAAATGTCCAAATACTTCTACAGACTTATGAAATACGCATTGTTTCACGTATTTGCTTAAAAATACTTTAAATATGTTTTAAAACCCACAAAGTAACAAAACAAAAAAAACATACCTGACATAACCTTTTTCTGTTTCTACAGTTTCTGGGCATGCCTAGTTTGGAACGTGTGTGTCTCGCGTAAATGACGTCATCGTAAAAAAAAAGAAGTAATGGTTGAATGTATTTAGCGTAAATGTATTTACTGCATAAGCAACACGTTCAGTTTAATTGTTTTCTATTTTTATGCTGTAGTTACAGTTAAAATGTTTACCACAACTGGTTATTATTTTTGATTATGTCAAAGTTTCATTTCTATTGTTTCACCAGAAGAGGACACTGTAAAAGATGTGCAAGAGTTTAAAACAGAATAAAGAACTGTGTAACGCTTACACATGAATACACAGGTAATAAAAATATGAACACTAAAACTAGCTTTACTGATATTTTAAACAAAAGAAAGAACGAAAAAATAGCAAACACAACAGTTTGTTTTTCTTCATGTAACATAAAAAAATCTGCGGCTTTATGCTTTTTCTCCTAAAATATGTCACCCAACAAGACACATTGTCAAAGAATTGAAAAATATTTAAAGAGCTTGAAAGATATTTTTTGGTGAAACGATTTTCCAGGTAGGAACCTTTTATTTTCCTTTTTGAGTAGGAAACAGAAAAGCCTCGCACCCGATGACTTTAACTATTTTAAGATTAATATTGAAATATTACGCTCTTTTATTTAATAGCACATTATTGCTTCATCAGATGTATAACCCATGACATAAATATAAAGTCAATGTGCATATTTTCAGAATAGTGTACGTTTTCTTTCGTAAATTGTTGAATTTGATCTGTTTTATAGCTAGCATTTGAGGCTAAAACATCCCTCGTGATTCCACAGCAGCCAATCAGAGACGCAAAGTCGGGTCCAGAGACCGAAATGGATTGTGGGTATTACAAATAAAAATATTTTGTGACTTATTTTACTGTTTTATACTTTTACGTTTGAAGAAAGAATTATGCATAGGTTACTTAACTATTATCAGTCTCACGATGGGCACATAAATGACTGGAAATTGTTTTTTGACAAATGTCAGTATTTTAAAACTCTCAATTTCTAACATCAAAATTGCGTAGAACTTTAACGTATAATGTATTTCACATTGTTTATTCAATTTATTTGCTTATTTGACTTTAGACTTGCTTTACTATAGTTAGACTTTCATTTTATGCTAAACACGTGACTGCACCATGACTGAGCGTTGCAGAGCGCTCGTACCTATGCGTCAGAAACAGGGAGTACAGGTTAAGACTATACTTTCAGGGATCATTTCTATAGTTTTTAACTTGAGAAACGTGCTCCTAAAGTGAATAGTCTCGTCAACCACGATGATGAGGTGTTGATACTTCCTCTTGAGCGCGAAGTCGAAGAAGGGAAATGATTAATTCCATATGCCTTTCTTCTTTGATGACCGTTCACTGTTACCTTGGTAACAGCGAGGGAGGGGGTATGATCAGAGTGGTTCTTACTATAAGATTGTAAATGAAAAATCAGGTGACCATTAATGAGTGAAAAAGAATGCCATGAACTGGCAGTGCTATCAATGACGTCACGAGCAACGATTAGTAATGCAGTGATGGGAATTCCGGCTCTTTATAGAGAGCTGGTTCTTATGGCTCAGGAGTGGACATCCTCTTCTACTCACACTGGAAGCTGCCGTTTAACTTAAACTAAGTTAATGAAATAATGACACGACTTTACAGAACACGTGCACCTGTCCTCAACTCTCCCAGTGCATGAACAAGCTCACAGCGCCCCGCGACGCCACCTGCAGCTTCACACACGCGCACACGGAGGGGAGGAGGAACCCGCACTTCCTTTTTATTGAAGGACTTTAACTCCACCCACATAGACATTGGTAGTGATAGACATCGCACTACAACACCCCCACTCGATGGCATCACAATAACATTTATGTCTGCTTTCTTTTTTTCACATTCCAAACAAAAACTTGCAGAAACATTCCAGTTTAACCTTTGTAGCAGATTTTGTGAACACATCTGTTATCATGTTTTCTGTTGAACAATAAACAAGGACCATATTACCACGTGACACATTGTCCCTCACAAAATGGTACTTAATGTCCACGTGTTTGCTTCTCTGACGGTTTGTTGGATTCTTTGCCAAGCTTATTGTTCCTTGGTTGTCCTCGAAGATTTTAACTGGACAATTTTTAACATGTAGTCCCATGTCCGCGAGCAGGCTTCTGAGATACAAGGCTTCTTGAACTGCTGCTGCTAGAGCCATGTACTCTGCCTCGCATGTCGACAGCGCAACAGTCTGTTGCTTCTTAGTCTTCCATGAAACCACAGCGCCATCTTCCTGTAGACTGAAGCAGTAACCTGTAACACTCTTTCTGTCCCCTGGATCGTTTGCCCAGTCTGCATCAGAAAATCCAAACAGTTCTAAAGTGTTCTCAGTCTTTTTGTAAGATAACGGGTAATGTTGTGTCCCTTTCAAATACCTGTACACATGTTTGACAGCCGTCACATGTTTTTGTCTAGGATCAGACATATACCTTGACAGATTGCTCACAATCCAGCAAATGTCTGGCCTGGTGCAGGTCATGATGTAAATGAGACTGCCCACCATAGCTCTGTACTCTTTGGGATCTGTGGGGTCTCCTTCTACAGTGAGATCACACTTGGTTTCACAGGGAGTAGCCCTGGTTTTACAGTCTGACATTCCTGATCTTTCAAGTATTTTCTGTATATACTTAGACTGGTCCATTTTTATCTCATCCTGCGTTTGTACAAAATCTATCCCAAGAAAATGGGTAAGTTGCCCTAAATCTTTCATTTGGAAAAGATTTTCCAGTGTTGTTTTGACTTGTTTCAAGATGTTATCATGACTGGCAGCCACAATTATATCATCCACCCACACCAACAAGATCACACTTTCACCTTCTGACTGATATGTGTAGATACAATTGTCTGTTGCACTTTGAACAAACCCGTTTTTGATCAGAGAACCATGGAGCATTTGGTTCCAATTTCTCCCAGATTGTTTTAACCCATAAATTGATTTGTTCAACTTCCAGACCATTTTTCTTTCTCCCTTTGGACCTTCATGGAAACCTTGTGGTTGTTCCATATATACCTCACAATCAATAGGTGCGTGCAAATATGCAGCCTTAACATCCATCTGATGTAGTTTGAGGTTGTGCTGAGCTGCTAACTGCATGAGTACACGTAATGATGTGAGGTTAGCTGTAGGTGAGAACGTTTCATAGTAATCTACACCCTGCACTTGTGTGTAGCCCTTAGCAACGTATCTTGCCTTATGTGTCTCATTCCCTTTTGCATCCTCCTTCAATGCAAAAACCCACCTACCTCCAACTGTTTGTTTCCCTTCCGGTAAAGGAACAAGAGAAAATGTGTTGCTGTCCTTTAAAGCTGTCATCTCATCTGTCATTGCTTGTTTCCACTTTTCCCTTCTGTCTGATTCTAAAGCTTCATCATAACTTTGAGGGATGCCTGTTGCAATACGATAGCAGTAATCAATATCTAGCTCGATACTTTGAACTGTACACTCATAGTCTTCAAGATATTTAGGCTTCCTTCTCTCCCTGCCAGATGTGCGTGTAGCCTGTGTGTCTTCCTCCCTGTCTGTGACATGTTCCTCTGTAAACTCGGTCTGGGACTCTTCAGGTTTGTTTACTTCAGTTACAGTCGTCTCCCATCTACTTACGTAACCCCCACTTTTTTCCAAATCGGTCTGTGTGTGTTTTTCTGCTTTGCTTTTCTCAAGAAAAGTCACCAGCCTGTGTTTTTGAACGCTGTTTGTTTCTGGGAAGAACACCATTTTAGCAGGAGAATGAGTGTCAAAACCCACAAAGGTCCCTCTCTTTCCTTTTGGATCTAATTTCTTCCTGTCTCTGTTAAACACGATGCACTCAGATCCAAACTTTCTCATTTCAGATAAGTTTGGTTTTCTACCTGTAAATAGGAAATATGGGGTCTCTCCCGTTCTGTTGCAGTAGCACCTGTTTCTTATCACAGTAGCTAACTTTGCTGCATGGGGCCATAACTCCTTAGGTAACCCTGACTCTATCAGCATGCACCTGACCATTTCAAATAAGGTGCGCCAATTTCTTTCCGCCGTCCCATTTTGGTGGGGAGAGTACGGGGCTGACCTTTCATGTCTGATGCCATTTTCTCTCAACAAAGTTTGGTACTCCTCTGACATGAACTCAGTTCCATTATCTGACCTCAGGCGTTTAACCTTTCCGAATGGTTCCATGTCTGCTAGAAACTGCTGTGTAGCCTGGACTGCTTTGTTCTTGTTCCTTAGAAAGTACACATGAATAGTACCAGAATAGTCATCAACAAAAGTAATAGCATACTTAAAACCTTCAAATGACTCTGGAGAAATAGGACCCCCTAAATCAGTGTGCACCAGCTCTAAGGGTGCTTTAGCCCTTGTGTCAGCTGTCTTGATTCTTGTCAATGTGAATTTCCCTTTTACACAAGTTTCGCATTGGTTAGTTTTGTTACCTTTGTCTCTGATCGCCATCCCCTCTACTATGGGTTCGAGCTTCAAAATATCCCCATAGTTACAATGACCCATAATTTCATGCCATTCTTTCAGATCAAGACATACATTACAGGAATCCTTGCTGTTTGAAACAGTTGCTGGTGTAGCATCCAAATAATACAACCTGTCTTTTACCTTCAACCTACATGTGGAGCCATCTGGGAGGATCATCTTGCTGCTGTCTTTTTCAAAACTGAATTTTACTCCCCTTGACACTGCTGCCTCCACAGACAAAATGTCTTGTGGATACTCAGGAATCAGTAGAGCACTGGTCAGTATTATCTTCAGAACTTTTCCCGTGTCGTCAGTCACCTCCAGCTGAGCGTCTCCCCGCGCTGTAACACTGCCAGTGTGCCGCGTGCCGTCTGCCAACTCCATCACGTGCCTCTTCTGCTGGAACGCCTTGTCGAACCGGATGAAAGCTTTTTCATCTGTGATGATGTGAGTGGAAGCACCGCTGTCAATCAGGAGTCCTCTCTGCGTTGTGTCCTTAGGTTTGTACTCATTTACTTTCAGTAGAAAAGAGCTATTTTCTTTAGCTTCACTCCTGTGACCTGTTTCTGGAGATCTGTTCCCCTGCGCAGTCTCTGTAACAGTGGAGGCCTTGCTGTTGTCCCGCGTCACAGTGCTGGACTGTTTCCAGTTACTCTTCTTCTTTAATCTGCAGTCTCTTGCTCTGTGACCAACCTTCTCACAGATAAAACATTCTCCATCAAAATGTTTCCCTGGTTTTATTTTCTCTTTGGGCTGAACATTTTTGTGCTTTGTCACCATCACTTCATCTGCACGAGGTCTGTTCCGGTAGCGTAACGTGCATTCGAAACTTCTCAGCCGGGCCTTGAACTCATTAAACGTGAGCGAGTCTCTCGTCTGTGTTACATGCACTGTGAACGGGTCATATTCTTCCGTCAGGCCTTTTAACACCATTGCCACCAAGAGTGCGTCGCTTAGCGTCTCTTTTGCTCTGTTTAATGCCGCAATAATTTTCTCCACACGTGTCAAATAGTCCACCAGCTCCTCACCGGGTGCCATCACCACGTTTGTCAGCTCTGTGTAGAGTACCACAATGCGCGGTTTTTCCCCGGACTCAAAGTGACGTCTTAATATCTCTAGACTTTTCTCTCCGTCGTCTGGAGCTTCATATAGTATTAGCATTAGCGTTTTGTCGTCTAGACAACAGCAGAGTTCAGCATATGCTAGCTCGTTCCTCTTACCGACTTCCACAGCCTCTGGTGTGTTCGGTGCCGCTCGGTCCTTTCCGAGTATTGTGTCCTTTAGGCCTAACGTCTTCATATAGGCCAAAAACCTCGCTTCCCATATATGGTACCTCGCTTCATCTCCGTCGAAGCGGGGCGGCGGGCCGCGTCCATATACTTGGGTGTGCTGCTGGGCATGCCTGGGCCCATAACCTGTTGTACTCGTGCCAGCGGGTGCATCTCTCCGTCTCTGGTCGGTCGCTCCCGACGCCTCAGCCTCAGCAGGAGTGGACATCCTCTTCTACTCACACTGGAAGCTGCCGTTTAACTTAAACTAAGTTAATGAAATAATGACACGACTTTACAGAACACGTGCACCTGTCCTCAACTCTCCCAGTGCATGAACAAGCTCACAGCGCCCCGCGACGCCACCTGCAGCTTCACACACGCGCACACGGAGGGGAGGAGGAACCCGCACTTCCTTTTTATTGAAGGACTTTAACTCCACCCACATAGACATTGGTAGTGATAGACATCGCACTACAACAAAACTATATGTAAAATAATTTACTAATGTAAAAAAAGAGCAATATATCAAATATTTATCATTTCTATGGATTTAATAACTGAACACTTTAAGAAATCTTCACTTTCCGACTGCTGGCGCTCACTTTCTCACCGTCTTCGTCACACTCTCCTCCCTCTCGCTCGCCTTTTCCTCCTCCTCATTCCCTCTCGTCTCCCTCCTCCCACATGTGCTCTGCTGTGTGTCTGTCTGATCCTCCCTCTTCTCCGCCCCTACTGCTCTGTGTGTGGACAGTCTGGACATACAGTTACACATGTTGACCAATCGCCTGTAGCTTTCACCAAGGCAAGGGGGGAGGGGAGGGGACGGCTCCCAATGACGAGCTGGCTCCCGTTGTTCACCTCAAAGAGCCGGCTCTTAGAGCCGGTTCGGTCGCGACCGACACATCACTATACTAAAGAGACTAGGGGAGTTTGATGGTACCTTTACATTTAAGTGGTTACTATGCAGCTCATTAAGTCCTTCAGAACCTTGTTAATCACCTAGTGATGGGATTCATGACTCTTTAATGTGAACCGTTCATTAGTCGGTCGTTTACCTCAAAGAGCCGTTCTCTATTGGCGTCACATATAAGAGACTGGCTCATTTGAATGAGGTGAAGCCAAGACAGCGGAGGGGGGAGGGGGGTGTCCGTGAGGGCGCACGGGGTTGGTTAGCATTCCATATAATATGTCGTTTTATAAAAGGAAACAGAGTCAGACAATTTACATACACTTTTAAACACATTTTGCAAATGCAAAACACAGTGGTTTAACAAATTTCTGAATATTGTGAGATTTTTTTATACAAGTATGAAAACAGATTCACATGGTTCATGAAAAATTTCATCTTGACAACTTTTAATCAGCTCAGACTAGAAATGTTAATAGTTTATATATTTTTACATGAGGGTTGTACTTACAGAACGAACCGAGAAATGTTTGTTTTTACCATAAAACTAGAGAAGCTGATTTATGAACAAAGATGACATTTTATCAGTCTTTATATGTGTTGGTTAAGTTCAGATTATGTAGTTAAAAAAAGTTACAATTTTAGAAAATAAAAAACTTAAAAACATAGATTTTATTGTAAATTTGACATTGGTTCTTTCACTCATCCACGTCATTAGTCTGCAGGTAACTAGAACAGTCTGAGATCCTCTTCACTTGTCTGGTGCTCAGACTTTCAGAGCACATGGGACACGCCGTCTCAGTTTCCAACAATCTGCAAAAAAGTTACACGCAACTTTGTTAATTATCTCAAAAACAGAGCTTTATGAGAAAATCACTATAATTTATTCCATAAAATAGAGTTACAACATTTAGAGCTCATTATAACTCAGGAACAACAGTGGTAGGAGTTCTCATGGCCTCAGAATCTATTTTCTGCACGTATCAATGCAATTAACAAAGTTCTGCAGGGATCCGTGCTTGGACACATAACATCTCCAGTACACAAACTAATGGAAAACTTAATATTTTCCTTGTACTATTTATCCCTTTACTTTTACTTTCCAGACTGACACTCTTTTTGACTTGATTTAATTGGAAACAGTAATTTGTCATGTTATTTTCATAATTAGCATACATGGCCCCACCCACCTTGGCTTGCTACTGCAAAAAGGAGTCAACAGAGCACGTCTAGTAGAAGCTAGCGTTAGCAACTCCATAACACAGTGGAACACTTTGAGGCCTGCGTTATTTGTGGTGATAAAATATCAGCATTGCATTTATTACCCAAGAGAAAGTGAACAAAAGCAGCAGAAGAGTTGTGTTGCTATTAGCCAATCAGTAGCGAGTCATTTGCATATCATGGATCTTAAAGAGTAAAACTTGAAATCCTGTCGTTTTTTTGCCCCACTCCTCCGGCAAACGTTGACCCCCTGAAACAGGAGCACCAGACCTTCTTCCACCTCAGAAAACGACTCACAAGATATTTACAGCAAATCTTTTGAAAAACTGAGTGGATGAGACCTTTAATAAATTCTCCTTCATGACAAAAAGAAAAGTTCTAAGTGGTGCAGAAAAATAGCCAATGCATACGTTGATTCTACGCTGAACAGCTGTTATATAAATGGTTTCCTGACATTTAGTACAAGGTTCATCTGGGCATGCAAACAGTTTAAACTCTCTTAGATTTTAATTCAGCAGCAAAGTATCTTTTTGCACAAGAGTCGTACTTACAGAGTGAACTGTGAATAGAGGGCAGGAAATTCACAGTGAGGACAGATGGACCAGTCTTCCTTTAGCATGTGACGACCCTAATGTAAATGGTAAAAAGGATAACGAATAAGTGCGGTCAACTGGCTTTGCTGTTGAGGAATCCAGTATGAGAGGTGGGTGTTTTTGTACCGTGGCGATGCAATAGGGTATGTTGTTCTTGCAAGAAATGCACAGCAGCTCATTCTGTGGGAGCTGGAAGCCACAGAAGGGACATGGTGTCGTTTCCTCCTCTAACTCAGAAGTATCAGGATGACTGTGACGCCAACAAGAACACAAAAAAGTAGATTTTTAACTTTGGGAGGAAAAAAAATTCCAACTGTGGAAAAAATATCAATTAAATCCTAATAACTCACCGAACCATGGCCTCTATCTTCTTCCTGTACTTTGGGTCGATCTTATTTCTGTATTCTGGTCTCATCAACATGGCGGCCAAGCTAAAGCCTGAGTTCTTCAGTCCAGCGCGTTGGCATTCGATTACTGCTGATGTCAGAATGGGCACAACATCTACACACACACACACACACACACACACACACACACACACACACACACACACACACACACACACACACACACACACACACACCAACACTCAAAACCAAACAACCAGAAACCACTGAGATGTTCAGGACAATGTGGAAATGCCGACTCACGTGCAGGAAATTTGCTGATGTTGTTACTGACTCGAATGAGCATCCGCGCCCCCTTCAGATGATCTCCTCTCCTTGTATGCATCTGTGTAAATATTTATAGATGTAAAAATCAGAAACGCACGCAGCAGCATGACTTCAACCAGAAAACCTCCAAAGGAATGTTCAAGTGCAAAAACGGAAAGTGAAAACAGACAGAAATCATAACAATAGTGAACAAGAGAAGCGTCAGTGCTTATGCACTGGCATGCTTAATCGTGTATACTTACTCTGACCAGAAGATAGGAGTGTAGAATCATCAGGTTGGTGGCCAGCTCTGCAGGGATCTTAATCTTCTGAGCCTGCAGCTCTGTGTACATGCTGAATAACACGTCATGAGCAATGCGGTAGTTCCCTGTGGTTAGACCATACATGAGCAACAGTCACATCACTAATAATAATATTCCATTTTGCCACTGATACCCCAGCCTTAGTCTTTGTACCTGCCAGCTGCTCTTCTCTGGCAATGATGATGGCAGTGCGAGCGGCCTCCCTGTACTGCTCCAGGGCCATGTAGAGACGGAAAAGGTACTTTGCCTCCTGGGAGGAATTTCAATTCATTACCAATATAAGTCAAATACTCACCCTCAAATCCTTCAGGGATCTGTCTAGATGCAAGAACTTTAAAAAGTTAATGATGTTAAGATGGCCTGCACTTGTATTGATTCACCCATTCATGAAACTTTGTTGGGGCTCACAATATATAATAATAATAAAGCCCTACTCATCCAGGACCACTGATAAATGGTCTGAATTTGTATATCGCCTTATTAAGGTTCTACAACCCCCCAAGGCTTTTCACAACACAATCAGTCATTCGCACGCACATTCACACGCTGGTGGGATGAGCTATGATGTAGCCACAGCTGCCCTGGGGTGCACTGACAGAGGTGAGGCTGCCAAACACTGGCGCCACCGGTCCCTCTGTCCACCTCCAGCAGGCAAGGTGGGTTATGTGTCTTGCCCAAGGACACAACAGCAGCCTTCCAGTTACTAGACAACCCTGCTCTACCTCCTGAGCTACAGCGGTCAGAACAAGAATATTAAATGAGCTGTGTGCTGACTGCCTGGTTTTCACTCGTGGCTATAAGACACTGCTTGAAGCTCGAAATTCTGCACAGAAGAAGAAAGAAAGAAGAAAATATCATTTCTATAGCGCCTCTCAAGATAAAAATCACGAGGCGCTTCACAAAAACAAAATGTAAAAATATAAAAAAGCATTTAGAAAATGTTTAAAAATATATTTAAAATGAGCAAAAATAGGCAATTGTGATTAAAAAATATGTTAAGAAAGAGAGAGAGTGACAAAATGACTTGCTGTGGCATTAATTGCACTAATAGAGCATCCAAGGAGTCTCCACTTCCTTTGTTTCGGTAAGTAAAATTATATTTATGTATTTTAGGTCACTGCCGAGCTGAGCTTAGATTTTAACATGTACTGTTTAACCATGAAATTTAAATGTAATAGGGTAAAACCCAGTGAATTTAACATAATGCTGCACTTTAGAAAATGGGTTGAAATATAACATGTTGGTGGAGCTGGGTTCCGACTATCGGCTTGTGGAGCTCTCGGGAGATCTCTGTTTTCCACCCGGTTCTCCCCTCCCCGCAGCTCGGCGCATCTCTGTCTGATCGCGGCTTCTGTCTGCTGCGCGGGCTGCCGGCTTGTGGAGCTCTGGGACGGAAACCTTTCCACCCGGTTCTCCCCAGCGGCAGCTCTGCGCATCTCAGATCACAGCGGCGCTTGTCTGCTGTGCGGCTGCCGGCTTGTGGAGGTCTCCGAGACCTCTGTGTTCCACCCGGTTTTACCCAGCGGTCAGCCCGGCGTATCTCTGGCTCAGAAGCTCTGGTGTTGTGCACAGTTAACTCCGGTTGTAGCTAGGTTGCTACTTCTGTTAGCTTAGCTCCCACCTCCGCATTAGCTTTGGGTTAGCCAGGGTTAGCTTGTAGCTAGTTCGACCGGGTGTCGTCAGTTGATCCCAGCCTTACAGCCCCACCCTCAGCTCCTCCTCTCTTCCCTTTTGTGGAATTGTCTGGGCTTGACGGAACCTGTGACACGGTCAAAATGGCGGTGGTGGCCACCACCCATTTGGCCTCAAAAACGTGTTATTGGAGTCTATGGAAATGAATTGTCCGGTACTTATATGTCAATGGTTGGAACATGCTGATTTCAGGTGGTGTGTCTAAGCTTATGACATGTTATTCCAGCTTATCTCAGAACGAACCGTTTCTCTGTGGTCAATACAACATTACTGATTTACATAGAACCGTCTCATGAGAAATGAAGCTTGTTTGAAATGAATTAAAACGCTTCAGTTTAAATTATTTTACACCAATGAGGAGCCATACAAGTGTTAACAGGACGTCCACTGAGATTAGCGTATATTTACTAAACTATTTAACGTCCAACCAGAACAGCAGAAGCATGACAGTGAAATCATGAGTTAATATAAAACAGAATATTATTTACCTTTGGTACACCATCACTTTCCCCAAGCAGGTATTCAATCAGCTGATTGGTTAAAGAGTCATCTTTGGCCTGCCCCACCTGAGTATGACACACACACACACACACACACACACACACACACACACACACACACACACATGCATGCACGCACATACACACACCCTCTCAAGTAAATATTGAGTTTTTTGTCCTCTCAGGTCAACACACACATCTCCCACCGTCTCAATGGCCATCTCTATTGCCAGGTTGTCTTCAGTTCTGGAACACTTCAGGAAGTGTTTCAAGGCCTGACAGGGCAGAGTGAAGGAAGGAGGCTGTATAAGCAGTGCTGATGATAAAAGTAACTGATGAATGAATAAAACAATACGTGACTCTTACTCGACTGAACTGCCCACACTTCTGAAAAAACTTGCCCGCCTGCAGGTGATTCTTTTCTCCCTCGAAGTACAGAGCAATACTCTGGTAGTCCTCCTGAGTCGCATCAGAGCCTGAGAAACGCAAATTCCATCAGCCACACCTCACATCACTGAGCACTTATCTGGAAGTGCCTTTGAGGACACACACACACACAGACTAACCGACGATGTCTGCGTAGACCTCCATCTGTCCATGCTGCTGCGCCAGCTGGAACGCTTCATCGTTACACTGAGACAGAACCAGGAAGTGGATGGCTGAACTGTAGTCGTTCAACCGCAGGAAGAACCTTGGAAAAGAAAAATGTTAAATTAAAGATCAAAAAGCAATCTAAAACATATTCAAAAAACTTTTTATTAGTTTGGGGAAATATGACATTAAAGGTGCATGATAAGAATGACATCTCGTGGACAAATTTGGTCTTTGTTCAAAACTCACAAGTCACTCTCTCACTACTGTTCTGTAAGTTTCATGGCTGTTGCCCGTTACGAATCAGCACCAGAAGATTCTAGATGAGGCACAAACTTCTGAGTCGCTCCTTTCACTGACTAACAATCTGTTCACAACGCTGCTGCTTTTCGGCGGTTGGTGTCAAATTCTAAATGCCGGCGCAGACTTGCCAACTCTGCCGGCTCACTTATGATTGGCTCTGGAACCGGGAAGTATGGAGGTGAGATGGATTGTAAACAGTGACCAAGCCCCACTTTGGTCTTTTTGAAAGGAGAAAAACTGACAACTCCCCAGCTGGCTGAGAATGAAATCTTTGAGACATTAGACTGATTAGTGGTTGTTTCACTATAGATATTTTACTTATTGCTCCTTTAAAGGAATAAACCATTCCTACCTGGCTACCATCTTTGCTCCATCAATGCTCTGCGTATTCCTGACGACGCGAACGGCATCATCTGGATTGTTGAGATGATCCAGCAGAACACGGATCATGTTATCCCAGTCCTTGGCGCTCTCGTAGGCCTGAGCTGCATCCTTATATCTAACACACACACACACACACGCACATACGCATACACACACACACACACACACGCACGCACGCACACATGCACACACACACACACACACACGCACGCACACATGCACACACACACACACACACACGCACGCACACACACACACACACACACACACACACACACACACACACACGCACGCACACATGCACACACACACGCACACACACAGCACATCAGATTTCCTACAATCATCCACTTGTAAGCTAAAAAGACACAGAAGCTGAGAACCTACTTGCCGTCTGCCTCCTTGGCTTTTGCGTACTGCAGGTGGATCTTCGGAGAGGAGACATTCGGGAGCAACTCTCCCACTTTTGCCCTCATAACAGAGAAATAAAACAGTTTTTAGATGATTGTGTCACTCGTTCTGGTGAGAGATCCCGATTAATTACGGTCTAAATCATGAGAAACTGAATCAGCCCCCACTCCTCCAATCCCTTTTTGTAATGATGAAAATAATCAGGACCATCCTGTTGTGTGGGTCTCACCAGTTCTTGCAGCGAATGTAAACGGACGCAGCCTTGTCGTAATACTGGCCTTTTTCATAGAGCTGAGCAGCTTCAGAAAATTGCTGAGGAAGCAAATGTGGCATCACAGATAAAGACAGGAACAAAAAGAGAAAGAAACATCAAACTTGTTTTTTTAACTGCATCCTACTTTACTAATTTAGTAATGTCTAAAAATACAAATAAAGAATAAAACTACAACCAGATGAACATTTGAATAAACAAAAATATACCTTCATAATGCAAAAAGGGTTCACATGAAGGTAACTGGACTTCTTTGGTTTCTTGAAGACATTTTGCTTCTCATCTGAGGAGCTTTGTCAATTCTGACTGGAATACGGAAGAGATGAGTTTATAAACTGTAGCTGTCTATTGTTGTTTAACAAGCAGAAACTACCTATAAATACCCCTCCTCCCTACCAATTGAGGAGTCATTGGAGTCATTAGCCACTATTGTGTGGGGATGGTTGTTTTGATTAGAGTTAGAAAAAACCCAAAGAAGTCCAGTTGCCTTCATTTGAACCCCTTTGGATTACCAGGACCTGGATGACTCAGAACCTTCACCAGCATCTACCTTCATGCCCTCCAGTATGGCTCCACATTCCTTCTTGAGGACTCGACTGGGATGCTGAATAGCCTGAGCCACTCCTCTCCGGATGTCCCCCATCCTGATGGACATCCTGGCTACACCAGCCTGACACGCCTCGTCGTGCTCCTGGAACTGCACAGCAAGAAGGTCAAAAACTGAGCTGAACCCTGTGCTTTGATGATGTGATGAAGCAGATGTAGAAGTTGTTTATTTAAATGCATGCATCTTTCTATGATGCAAAGACTTCACGGTGTTGCAGAAAACTGACAAACGAGACGAAACTCACTTTATCGCTGTGGGTCATGCCTTTCTCATAGTGTGCCAACGCATTAACATAATCTCCACTAGAAGAAGAAAGAGAGAGACACTTCTGAAATAATGTCATTTACCTGGAGAGTAGAGTGTGTGAGACTGAACTTACATGAACTCCAGATGAACAGCGTACTCTTTGGAAATGAAGGGAATCTGCTCCTCTGCTAGCCTTTTAGCTAGCATTAGGGCGCTGTCCCAGTTCAAAAGGTCTCTTCTCATCTAAAACATCAAAACACCTCCTTCTATTATGCATTCCTAAAAGGTGCTACAAATCTTGTGGGGAGCAAGCATTTGATGCTGCTCATCTCAAACTATGGAACACATTTGAAGGCACAATTAAATGTGCTCTACAAGTAAACTCGGTATGGTAACTCATATTTATAAAATCTCTCTCACTCTACAACAGCACACTTTAAAGCTGCACTACAGAGATTTCCCCCTTCTGAGGATTATGCCTGTTTTTTTGGAAATCTGTGAAAGTGCTAGTATACACCTGTGCTGTGATATAATGTAGATGATGCATATTTTTTTGTCCAGCCCATCCCCCGTCCGACATATCTAGACTGATGCAGAGTTGGCAACACTTCAAGTGGACCAGTAAGTCTTGATATACATAAGTATATGAATAAACAGCAAAACATGAGAGTAACAATGGTAAAACAATGTAGTTTAGCTCTGTTGCTGTGCATTTTCAAATGAGAGGCGGTGCTTCAGCTGTAATCACAGAAGTTGGGAAGTGTAATACATTTTCCCACCTCTAGATGGTGCTGTCTGAGAAAAAAACTCCAGTTTTCTGCTTAATACATTTAACAGGTAAGTCACACCTCCAGAGCAGCAATCGGGCAGCTTGAGGACAGATAAAGGTCTTGAGCCTGATCGTATTCTTCTAGAAACATCGCCAAATTTCCCGCCAGTAAGTTTTTGTCTTCAATACCCTAAAAAGTGTCAAATACACACAATCTGTTAGGGGGGGAAGGAACATTAAGAAAGTGTTTCGTTGAAAAGATCTGTCCCAGTAACCTGGATACTCTGCAGTGACAGGACCATTCCCACATTCCCACTTGTGCGGTAGACCTGGATGGCCAGATCGACCTCCATGTGGACCAGACAGGCTTTACCCAACTCAGCCCAGTCTGCATCGCTGCCTGAAGACTTGCACAGATTCCAAGCCTCGTGGAACCTAGACAGAAATTATTTATTGGATTTTTACAGCCATCAACAATATTTTAAAGAACGCTGGTTGAACTCCAACTAAAGAACACCACTGACCGTTTCAGCATGAGAGCCTGGTTCAGCTGCTTGCTGATCTCTGGTGAATGGGAGTCAGCCGAGTGCTTAAGGAACGCGTGCGTGCTCAGAGACACTTCGCTAGTTTTGCCACTTGTTGTCTGACAGGTCAGCTCGCCATTGTACAAAAGCAAAGGTCTTTGAGAGAAGGGGAGGGCAGTGGCCCCCACCAGCACCACCTGTGGGCCTGAGCAGAGAATTATCAATACAGGCAAAAAACACCATCATCAGTACTCAGGCCGTAGAAGGCGCTGTCACATCTCTTTACCGTATATTGTAGTTTTGTGTAAGGCATAAGTGGAGACCTTGTCATCGTCAAAGGCCACAAATACTCCTCTGTCTGCATGCCAGTTGTCCCACAGCACCCCAGTGATGGTGGGGGAGAAGTTGGGGAGCTCAAAGCAGGGAATGGTTGCCTGGACACCAAACAATAATAGAAGTCATTGTGTTCATTTTAAAGCTAGTAGTTTAAAATCTTTAAAGGAGCTTTATAACGCTTAAATTTTAAAATCTGACCCTGTTCTATGATGTAAAGTGGATAATCCTTCCTCTGACCTCTACAGCAAAACCAATCAGATACCCGGTACATGAGCCTAGAGATCTGACCAATAGAGTTGTGTATTTTCAAGAGGGAACTATCAGTTAACGAGAATACACCCCAGTTCCCAGCATGCACTGCCAGGTGATGCACTGACATAGTCAGTTTCACCCACAAACCGAGCTTGAATGCTAACTCGACCTGCATTGAATTAATGTTGATAACCGGATCAAAAAGGGATTTATCTTTTTGTAATAGAGCTAACTGATTAGCATTGCATTCAACCTTGCGCTGCAAGACTGTAGTTTTTGCTTGTTGTAGCATTAGCAGGTGTGTGCTGGCATCCTGGATTCCTGCCGGTTTTAGACGTTTCTCTGCGTGAACACTGAAGATTTGATTAAAACGAGTGATTAGCAGCTCCTGTGGAACCAGACGAAGGCTGAGGAAATGTGTCTGAGCAGGAACATGTTGAAAACATTACTTGTCCACTAAAAGTTTTGAAAACTTCCAAAGTTTTAAATATGCTTGTATTGTTTATAAATCCCTTCATGGTTTGGCCCCTCCCCCAGTAGAGGACTTTATTAAACAACAAAACAGAAGGACCAGATCAGCCAGTAGAGACTGTAAGGTTCCTTTCAGAAGAAACACCATTGGACAAAATTCAATCGCTGTCAAAGAGTGGTACAACATGAAATCGTATTTCCAATTTTAATTCGGAAGATCTTTCATGGACATAAAAACAAAGAGTTGGAGTACCCGGCCCGGAGGATTACCGGGGTCCCACCCTGGAGCCAGGCCTGGGTAGGGTGGTAGGGCTGTCATGGCTGACATGTCTCTGCAACATTGCGTGGTCATCGGGGGCAGTTCCTGTGGAGTGGCAGACCGGGGTGGTGGTCCCCATCTTTAAGAACGGTGACCTGAGGGTGTGTTCCAACTATAGGGGAATCACACTCCTCAGCCTCCCTGGAAAGGTCTACTCCAAAGTACTGGAGAGGAGGGTCCGATCGATAGTTGAATCTCAGATTGAGGAGGAACAATGTGGTTTTCGTCCTGGCCGTGGAACTGTGGACCAGCTCTATACCCTTGCAAGGGTGATGGAGGGGGCATGGGAGTTTGCCCAACAATCCACATGTTTTGTGGATTTGGAGAAGGCTTATGACCATGTCCCCAGGTGCACCCTGTGGGGGACGCTCCAGGAGTATGGGGTGGGTGGCCTTTTGTTAAGGGCCATTCAGTCCCTTTACCAGAGGAGCGTGAGTTTGGTCCGCATAGCCGGTAGTAAGTCGGACCTGTTTACGGTGAGGGTTGGACTCCGCCAGGGCTGCCCTTTGTCACCAGTTCAGTTCATAACCTTTGTGGACAGAATTTCTAGGCGCACCCGTGGTGTGGAGTGTGTCGAGTTTGATGGCAGGAGAATCTCGACTCTGCTTTTTGCGGATGATGTGGTCCTCCTAGCTTCATCCAGCTCTGATCTTCAGCTCTTGCTGGGTAGGTTCGCGGCCGAGTGTGAACCGGCTGGGATGAGGATCAGCACCTCCAAATCTGAGACCATGGTTCTCGACCAGGAAAGGGTGGCTTGCCAACTGCGGGTCGGGAGAGAGGTCCTACCTCAAGAGGGGGAGTTTAAGTATCTCAGGGTCTTGTTCACGAGTGAGGGTAGGAGGGATCGGGAGATCGACAGGCAGATTGGTTCGGCGTCTGCAGTGATGGGGTAGTAGCATCAGAAGCAGGGACCTGAAAAGGCTCAACAGCCTAATAAAAAAGGCTGGTTCTGTTCTGGGAACGACTGTGGAACCAGTGGAGGAGATAATGCAAAGGATTCTCCAGAGAATCAAGAAAATTATGGACAACCCTGAGCATTCTCTTCACAAGACTGTCCGACAACGGAAGAGTGTCTTCAGTCAGAGGCTTCTTCAGTTTCGCTGCAACACTGACCGCTACTGGAGATCCTTCCTGCCAACAGCCATTGTAATATACAATAACTCTTTGGCAACTTGATTATTATTATATTTCTGAGCTACTACAGCAATCAATTTCCTTCTGGGATTAATAAAGTATTTTTGAATTGACCACTTGTAGCTCTGATTGAGGAATACAGGGTTGGTTCGAGATAGTGTTTCTGTTTAATTTTCATCATTGATTTTTTTATTACTGTTGTTTCAAATGTATGCTGTTTTAAATATATGAAGACTACAGATGAAAAGTAGCCCACGGCTAAATCTGGCGCATTTACACAAATTAATTAATCAGTGTTCATTAATGTGCACTGATTTCCCTCTTATCTATTCACTCTCTCTCTTTCTTTACATTTTTTAATCACAATTGTCTATTTTTTGCTCATTTTAAATATATTTTAACCATTTTCTAAATTCTTTTTGATATTTTTGCATTTTTTGTTTTTGTGAAGCGCCTCGTGATTTTAACTTAAGAGGCGCTATAGAAATGATATTTTCTTCTTCTTCTTTTCCTCTACAAATAAACAAACAAACAAGGCTGCTTGTGCTTGTGGCATGTATTAACCAGAATAAGATTTTTGAAAACATTGAATTGTTATTCTGTGAAATTATGTATTTTCTTATCACCCTATACACCAGCACATTTTTTCATCTGTAAAACTTCCAGAATGAGGTGACCTCCTGGTGATTCACGTGATCAGAGAAGTGTAATTTGATTGGCTGTAAGCCGCATGACTCAAATGAGTGACCATTGCTTTGAGGTCTCTGCATTTGTTGTTACATTTTTTGCTGTTGAATTTTACGCAATTTTTCAAATTTTTTGAAATTCTGTTGTGTATTTTTAGTTAAAAATAATAAAAAAATAATAATTTCACAAAATAGAAATTCAATGTTTAAAAACAGCACTAATCTGGTGAGACCGTATTTCATCCATAGGTGTGAGGCACGGGTTCCAGGGGAGGGGCAGCTATAGCTATACTAACGTTTGCAGAGGAAAACAGGAAGCCGCCATTCTTGTCATCAATGAAGACCACCCACGTGCCATTTGGGTCAGGAAACACCTTCCGTACACCGACCGCGTGCTTGTAGATGTTTACCGTCTCCCAGTCCTCCACCAAGAAACACACCACACAGCCCGTCTGGGAAAAATAAATCATCTTTTATGACTCATGGTGTCAAAAGTGCAGTGGACTGAGATGCAGACAGGGTGATGCTCACATCCGTGCCATAGTAGAGGAAGTCGTTGGTCAGAGCGTGGCAAAGGATCTGGCCTTGTCTGTCATCACCTGGAAACAGCTTCATCTGCTTCCTGTCCTCTGTATCTCTGCCTTTAATCTGAAAGGACAGAGGTGTGATCAATGTTTGATAACTTAATGATAAATAAAGGTGCAGTAGATGCTTCACCATGTGTAGCTGCACTTTGCCTTCAAACAGGGCTGCTGCGTAGTCCGTGTTAAGATGCATGCTGGCTATCGTCCCCAAATACTCCACATCCTTTATCTCGTCACCACCTGAGAAAGATGAGGAAGGGGTTTAGGAACGTACACACAAGCAGTTTCATACGGGTTTGTTTAACCTACCGTAAAACCAGGCTCTGTTGTTCATCCCTATGGCAACGTCGCACGGTCCAACTGCAACAAATGTGGGCTCCACTTCCACCTGAATGGCTACAGGACTCTCCTGTCAATAAAAAGGATTGTTTAGGTCATAATTTAGAGTTTTTATCATAAAAAATGAAATGTTCTGCTTGTGTGTATTTTCTCACCCCCTCCACCTGATTGGAAACAGTGACCTCCAGCAGGGAGGTGAGGAAGGCCAGCCGGGTACCGAAGCTGTCCCCCAGCATGGGGAGCTTAGTCAGGAAGACATGAATCGTCCCTTTTTGTGTGGAAACTGCCAGCAGCTGTCCGTCATCTGTCCAGTTCATCTGATCCAGACCTACAGGAGACAAGACCAAAAAAGAAGTCAAGACAATCCTACAAAAGAACAATTAATAATAAAAAAACAGACTTAGTCACCTTTAGTTTCATCCTCCAGTTGAACTATGTTGCTGATATCTTTGAGATCAGACAGCTCGTGGATCTTGATGCTGCAAGAAGTTCACATAATCAAAAAAATAATATATAGACTGATTTGTTTGATGTCTGTGTCTACCTGTTATCCCCACAGGAAGCAGCTTTGTTAAGAGCAGGTGAGATGGCCACGCTGTTGAGACTGTCTTTATGATTGTGAGCCTGGTACAGCTCAAAGCCGATCTCCATGATGTGTGTGGAAATCACCACAAAGTATCCGTGGGAGAAGCCAATCAGTATGTACCCATCACCGTACCTGGGCAGGTAAGGAAAGAGAGTTCAGCCTTAGCAAATAACAGCGCTGCTTTATTCCGTCCACAGTTGCTGAGAAGTTTGAGAGTGCCCATTACCATCGGTAGGACACGATGTTGCCGTAGCGAGGCTCAAAGGCCAGCTCGATTGGGTTTTGGGGGTCGTTCATGTTGAAAAGCATCAGGATCTTCTTGTTCACGGACACGCTGACCTGGAGAGGGATCATAATAATAAAATCATGTGTCAAACATAAATAAATGCTGCTGAACACATATTTATGAACATTTGATATATACAGTGATGTGAAGAGTATTTGCCCCTTTTATAGAGTTCTTGTGTTTCTCTTTGTTTCAGATCAGAAAACAAACGTCTATATGTGACAAATATGACTTGATTAAATTTAAAAGACAGTTTTTAAATGATTTATTCATTCAAGTAAGTTTTTGCCCCTAAAACTTCAAAATATGCCCGTTTTATGTCTATTTCCCCCAATTTTCTGAAAATTTGGCTTAGCCATAGACAAGATATTTTAAATGAAAAAATTAATAAATAAAAGTAAATAAATAAATAAAGAATAAATACTAATAAAATAATAAGAGTTAATTACTTTATTTAATAAAAATTTAAAACATTAAAATTGTAATTAACTAAAAAATAAAAACATAAAAATTTAAAAATTAAAACTATCAGGCTTTACTTGAAATCTAACTAGCCGTGTCTGCAGCTCGCCACACAAATACCGTCACTAAAGATGCAGTTTAGAATCAGATATTACAGATTTTCTTCATTAGAAATTAACTGATAACACCTGTTGAATTAATCTAAAGCTATTCATTTCAGTTCAGAAAATTGAAATTCATTTAAATGTGCTGAAATTTAAATAGAATCTAGAAACAAACAACAAGAACACCAATGAAAATAGCAAATAAACTCACAGTGCTCTCCCCTTGAGAAGACCTTTCATCCGTCTTCATCATAGAAAAGTAAATTTCAGCAGGTTCTCCTCGAAGTGTTGTCTGAACAGAGGAAAATGAAACAGGACTCTAACTCTTCTAAAATTTGATTGTTTGAACAAAAAGGTTTTCATGTTATAAGAAGAAATAATCTATGTTTACCTTTTAACACAATTAAGTTAATGATCAGGGGTCTCATTTATCAAACATCGCGTAGAATCCTTACTAAAACCGTACTTCAGCTCAGCAACAAAAATGTACTTAAGCCAAGCAGGTTTGTGATCTATCAAACATGGAGTACGCACAGCTGCACGCAATCTCCGCTTCATAAATCAGAAACTATCTAGAAATGTTCTCAGCTGCTTTTTAGTCACATCCCGCCCTCACCACGCCCACTTACTGCCATAAATGGTCAATGCAAAGTGCCTTGTGGATGTAAATGCAGATACATAAGCCAGCTGTTGCAGCATTTCGATCACGACCACAGATCAAGGAAGTGCTATTTCACAAGCAGAAATTCAGGTACTTGTGGGTGAGGTGGAGAAATGAAAGGAAGTGCTTTTGCAAAATAAATAAGAGAAAATCCACGGAGTGGCACAGCGTTGCTGAAGTCGTCAATGTTGTGAATTCTTCAGAGAGATCTGTGGCGGTTATTAAAAAAACGGTCCAATCAGGATTTTATCCCCAGACTCCCAGGTGAAAGTCATGCGTTAACCAGTCACCGAAATGGAGATCTCCCTTGTCCAAGTAGCCAGGGGGCATGATCAATCAGGTCACAGTGACAGGACACACACTGTCACAGACGCATGACATTCTGTCTCAATCTGTCCCCCTGCTGATATTCTGCATCCCGTATTCTGCGCTTCAGGCTGTGTGTGTGTGTGTGCGCGCGCGCGTGTGAGTGTGCGTGCATGTGTGTGTGTGAGTGTGTGCGCGCATGTGTGTGCGTGTGGGGGGTCTTGTTCTGTGTGAAAACGAAGCGGTACAAGTGATAATGCTGCAGATTTTCATAATTTTATCCTTCTCAGCAGCAGCACTGCAGGTGCTCTCCATGTCCAAAATGTGCGTAAGCCAGGTCCTTAGTCTACTTAAAGCTGCGCACATTTTGCCACTAAGTTTTCTTTCATAAATCCCAAAGTTTGCGTGGAAAGTGGCTTACGCAGTTTTCCAACCCCGTTTTGTGCGTAAGCAAGCTTGATAAATGAGGCCCCAGCAACTTAATTAATGGTTAACTGTCTTATCCGACTGGGTTAGATTGTGAAGCCACACACACACAAACACATATATATAGAAATCGAGATGCAAGATAATAATGATTCGTTGAAACATTGTGATATTCCATGTTATGATACTGAACTGATATTTCTACAGCAGAATATCGATTTTTATTCAGAATTTACATTCAAACAGTTACTGTATTTCTTTTGTGGGGTACGTCTAAAAATAGTTTATCTCACAGAGTGTATTTTCATCGCACATGCGAAATATATGTTCTGCCCTGGTTTACAACTTTAATTAATCTGGGCCTAGGGCATAGTTTCTCACTACTTACCCAGACACCGAGCTCTCCCCTTCCTCGCTGATGGCTCAGATAGGCTTGCGATGATGCTGTATTATCACCATCGAACTCCCATGCCATGCCTCGTCTGATTTACATATGTTGCAGGTGACAATGTCTTTGCATTGTTTAATCTAAAGTGCTCCCAAACTTTAGAAAATTTTCTTAGGTCTTCCTGTCATTCCTCATCTAAACAACGGCTTTCTTTCTCGTTCTGATCCGCCTCGGTCTGTTCTGCTGCCACCTATGAGCTGTGTGCATTGACTGTTACATAAAAGTTGCACGACACAAACAAATTCACGACAAATTAATTTTTTATCGATTGTTATTGATTCATTGTTGCAGCCCTGTTTCTGGTATCGCAGTATGTCGTCTCCCCTGTACTGATATGAATCGTATCATCAGATTCAAGCCTATAGGGAGCCTAAGTCACGCCCATGTACTTCCAGATCACGAGTCCCCAACAGCAAAACAAAAAGAACGGGAGTCTATGAGAGGATAAAAGTTATTTTCTGATGTCGTTTCATTTGTGCAATGGATTTCACATGTGATATGTGTGAATTTAAAGTCACATTTTGATGCCAAGAATGTGCTTATTTTCAACAGACCAGGTGGCAAAAGTTCTGTTTTTGGTCAGTTTTATGCTGTTGTAAGGTGCTATATAAATAAAGCTGCCTTGCCTTTTAGGTTTGGTGTGAAAATACATCCAGGTCTCTAAATGTTCGTCTCACAAAAATTGACGTCATCGAACCACACAGAGACCAAAGTAAGTTTAGTGAGCTTCAAAACCTTCTTCCAGGACAAAAAGAGCAATAAACATGGAGAAACCACTTTAAACCTGGCCATGCGGTAAGTAGCAGCTACGCTGGAGGAGAAGTGATTCTGTAGTGACGTCTGTTTAAATTATGAATTACACGCATATATAGTGTTGGTGTGACTACCTGTCTGACTGTGTCTCCTTCATGGTTGCTAATGCTAAGAGTGTGGTCATCACTTCCCAGAGCCAGCAGATTCTGAGAACTCCAGCACCCACAGGTGATTTTCTTGGTGTGTTTACCTGCGGTAGCAATGTAAAGACAAATGATCATTATAAATTAAGTAAATATGAATAAATAATTAAATAAATGTTTGCGGTGTGTTTATTACCCAGTATGGGGATCTTGCGTGAGGTCTGTTGGTTGTAGATCAGCAGGTTTCCTTTTGCTGTCCCAACAGCCAACAGAGGGCCAGCTTTAGACCACAGGATGAAGGTCATCTGATCTTTGCTTAAACCAACAACAGCAAAAGAAGAATACATCCTGATTATTAAAAACTGAGTAACACTTTCTCCCTACCTCACTTTCTGCATCATGGCTGCTGTACCTCATCCCGCTGTCTATTTGTGACATTTTACTGACACTGGCATCCCAGAGGTAGATTAAGCTGGATTTTGCAGCGATCACTGCAAGAATGTCGCCATCCTTGTCCCAGTCCATCCCCACACAGCGACTAAAGGTGAGGAGAGACAAAAGATATGAAGCAGCTGACGCGGTCAAAGTGAACCCCTACAATTCGTCTTACACTCACCCTGGGAGGTTGAGTTCAGTCCACTTCTGTCCATGTCGATCAAATATTTTCACTGAGTTATCCTGCCTGTGTGATTTGAAACAACTGAAATGTATGAACACCCTTTTGATGATGATCTTGAACTAAGAGAAGAAACAGTTTACTCACCCGGCAACAGCAATGTAGTTTCCAAGGCTTTTCTGCCATTTGTAAAGAACAGTAGAGCCTGCCCAAGCCTTTTCCGAAAGAACGAAAACACTCTGGAAGCAAAAAGTGACTAAATCTAAGTTTAAAGGCATTATAGGGGAAAACAGTCATTCTAGTGTTGCAGCTGCATGAGTGAATCATACACCAAAGTCACAAATTTAATAAATAAAGCCTGGCCAAAACTGATTCGTGCAACGGGATCATGTTCACACAAACACCAGGAAATCTAAACCTGACAAGGAAAATAATCATGGCCTTGAACTGAACTGTGCATAAATAAATACACAAATCAAAGTTTGTTTTCCAAGAATGAGATAATTAAAAACAAACAGATTGTAAAAAACGAATACAGATAACTAAAAACAACAGTCATAAATTCAAGGGCATGAGGTAGGGCTCTGGCTGTTTAACCCTATTCTTATGATAAATAGAAGAAAAATCGATTCTAAATCAGCCTTTAATATAAAGAAAATAACTAATCAAACCCACAAAGTGAGATTATCTTTCTTTATCCGCACTTTAAAAATAATATCACGTCATTCTCTTTAAATGTACTTTTCTATCTAATTTTCTGCCCTATTTATTGTTTAATTTCAGTTCAAAATATAAAGAAATCACACAAAAAAACTAAATTGTTCATATCAAGCTTCCATGCTGCCACATTTAACGGACACGATAAGCTAACTAATGCTATCATTAGCCTCTAACATTAAAGTACTATCATAATTCACCTATAAATACAGTTATGTTCTCTCTGGTCAGCTCAACAACTAACAACTGGGAATTATCGACAAAACCAATGTAGCCTGAGCTAGCTTGAAGCTGCATACCAAAAACTCGCTAAATCCGTTTCGTGTAGGGCAATTCAACCCTGGAAATCACAAAAACAAAAGAAACGTGTGTATTAAAGTTCTCCTTTGTACCAACCTTCATTTTAGTGGCTATTAAAAGCTCACAACCTAAACCTCCTTCGTCTTTTCAAAACATTTTCGACGTTAGGGATGTTTGTTTCCCACAATGCTTCACTCTGAAGCGTCTTCTGCGGAGATGTCATGGCAACGGGGGGTAGCCAATGAGGGGCCTCTGAGAGGCAGACGAGGCAGCAGATACAGAGTTCGTATTTCAAAATAAAAGCACCGAGGATGCTAATTAAAATGTAATAGAATAATTCCAAACCTGTGTCACTAATTTGTGACAGCAGGTTAATTTTAATGAAAGATATAGTAAAGTATAAATTTGCCTTATTTAATGAAATTTACAAAAAATTGTTTTTTAAACAAATGCTAATATGTTGTGAGTCAATGTTTTCAGTCAGAAATCTATGGATGCATGGAAAATTTCACAGATTTTGACGTCTGAGTTTTAATATTGTATTTCCATCATTAATCCATAAGATGGCAGTTTTGCACAACTCTTTTTGCCTGGGTGTGCTAAAGACTCGACATCTGCTCCTCTGCCCCAGGTTTCCATGAGCATGAGGACTGTCCTTGGGCAAGACACTTAACCCTCCCTGCTTGCTGCCCACACTGGTAGTCTGGGGGCCTGAGAGGGGCCGTCTATTGAGTACCACTGTTCAAGACTAAAATAGGTGAGGGGTAAGCTGCTCAATTAGAGAGGCACATTTTTAAGAAAGTAATTGCCCATAAGTGTTTCAATTCTTTGTGTGTAATCATGACAATATAATAAAAGCAAATTTGTTAGAGGCTTCAAATTTAACTACTTTGCAAAGACAAAAACATGTGTTTATCTTAATTTTCTGTCTCAGTGACAACATGAAAGTGTTTGTTTCGGAATATCTTTTCAGCTTCAGATAAAAAGCATTTACATGTGCTGGTTCCACATCTTGCATTAGGCAAAATTATCGCAAAAAATCTGTACTTACTATTGTTCAGGCTTTGCCCTCAGGGTGGGTGGGTGGGTAAAGGGACAGAGGGGGCTCAAAGCTTGTTGTCAGGATGGTTCTGGCCCACTTTACACCCACTCTAGAACCGCCCCTGTCTAGAAGGTTCACAGATTGACGTGGGAAATTGGGGGGAGGCTCTGAAAGGCAGCTCACACTCCATGGAGCGGTTCAAATAGTTTCTAAGTTCATTTCTGAAGGAGATAGATTCTCTTTGGTCTTGGATGCTTTCAAACCCTAATTTACAACTGCTCAGTTACCTATATCTGCCAGCGATGACATGAGACACAAATGATGTTTAATCTTTCTATTGATGGAAATTCATTTTCAAAGAACTTGGAAGACTTCGACTCGGTTCGCAGTGTTCTCCTTTACAGGTCCGTCGATTTCTTTTATGTTTTTAAATACAAGGGCACTCGTTTAGGTTTTGTTTTATGTTGTTTTTGTTGGCTGTCGCACTGTGCCAGAACCGAAGCGGTTGGCAAAACTTGTGCAGAGATGCTTGCTGAAGGTATATGCGTAAACTTGATCACACCAAACCCCATAATTCTGATATTTATATTAGAATTCGACTTACAAAAGCCCTACTAAGTGCCTTTCACAGAGAATAGCATTGCTTGTAGTTAATTTGACAGTGTGATTCTGGTACATTGACGGAGTTTTAATACTTTTTCAGTGATTTCTTTCTTCCCACTTGTCATTTACGTCAATTCACCTGGCTGGTGGTGATGTAGCACGTGTCCCTGACGATAACACGTTTATATCTAAACCAAGATTTTCACCTTTAAAGAAAACAGCCGTTTTCTAAAACACATTTCTGGTCCTCTGGTGGGAATAAACACAACCCAGGAGACGTCGTTCTTAACTAGAGGGTTAAACAAACTTCGTTTTCAGTGCGACCCGTCTGCGTCATTTGGAATTCTAGGATATCCAAGGAAGGTCCCGCCTTTTCTCGCCTCTGATTGGCTGGAAGGGCTCTTCTACGATTGGTTATTTCGTTTAAGAGGAAACAGTTTTCTCTCGCTGCAGGTTTTTATGTTTACAGTCAGATCTTGAGGAGCTTTTTGAAGAAAATGTGAACTGATCGCTATAATAAACTTCCTTTCCTGTTTAGCAACAAACCAGGTTCAGTTTCTTTCATAAAAGAGCCTGAAAAACATCAAACGTGAACTTGTAATAATTCTTGTAGCATTTTATCACACTGTAGACTGACTTTATATCTGTTGGCTCTATTGGGGTTATCTTATTACTTTATTATTAAGCTATCCTGCTTTAGAAGAAGAAGCAGAAAGTATCATTTCTATAGCGCCTCTCAAGATAAAAATCATGAGGCGCTTCACAAAAGCAAAAAATGTAAAAATATAAAAAAGCATTTAGAAAATGTTTAAAAATATATTTAAAATGAGCAAAAATAGGCAATTGTGAATCAAAAAATGTTAAGAAAGAGAGAGAGAGTGAACAGGAAAGAGGGAAATTAGTGGATCCTGAGGAAGGCAGAATAGGTGGGGAAAGCAGAATAAAGAGAGAGTGGTGAAGAAGGTCATACAAAAGCCAGCTTGAACAAGTGAGTCTTCAGCTGCTTTTTAAAGGAGTCCACTGAGTCCACTGATCTCAGGCTCAGGGGGAGAGAGTTCCAGAGTCTGGGGGCCACAGCAGCAAATGATCTGTCACCTTTGGTCTTTAGCCTGGAGCGCTGCACAACCAGTAGGCTTTGGTCACTGGACCTCAGGGACCTGCTGGGGGTTTAGGGACTGAGAAGATCACCAATGTAAGATGGTGCTTGTCCATGTAAGGCCCTATAGACCAGAACCAGGATCTTGAAATGAACCCTGAAGTTGACTGGCAGCCAGTGAAGCTGGAGGAGAAGCAGGGTGATGTGGGTGTGTTTGGAGGACTTGGTCAGAAGCCGAGCACAGGCATTCTGAACCACCTGTAGACGGTTCAGGGAGGTTCTGCTCAGACACGTGAAAAGAGAGTTGCAGTAGTCTAAGCGTGAGGAGATGAAGGTGTGGAGAACTGTCTCAAGTTCAGAGCGGGACAGAATGGGACTCAGCCTAGCAATGTTCCTGAGATGGAAATAGGTTTAGGCTGTTTACAAGTTAGAGCACATCTCTCATCATCAGATTAGATGTATATCATTCAATCAAAAATTAAGTTATAGCTGATTATGATTTAGACCTATTTTTCAACAGTTTTCATTATTCTAGAGAAGAAACAGACCTGATACACACAGCTTGCCAGAATAGGGAAGTTTTATTAAATGTCATACCTAGGTAAGGCACATATGTTTATCCTATGCACTCTAATGCTTCAGAGCCAAGAGATATTAAGTAAATCCAACAGTTTGATAAATGCAACAAGATTTAAAATTCACATTTTACGTTTTTCAGTTTGTTTTAATGAAACATAAAACATAAAATATTTGGCAAACCAGGACAGAACGTTTATTATAGCGCTAAGTTCACATTTTCTGTACTAAACTCCCCAAAACAGTTTTCTGCTGGTGGCAGAAGGACACAGTCAGCACTTAGCCAGAGCTGTATAGAGCTCTTTTCTACAGCTCTGCACTTGCTGTTAAATGAAATAGCCAATCGAAGTAGAGCCTTTCAAGCCAATCAGAGACGAGAAAGGCGGGATCTTCCTTGGACATCCTAGAATTCCAAATACGCGACCCGCCTGAAAGTTTCTGCGTTGTCAGGGGCAACTATATCATTTAGCCAATCAGTTAGTCCGGTTTCTTGTCACGTGACTTGCAGTGAGCATGTTTTCAATATGGCGAAATAATGTTGCTGCTTGTTTCCGTGATAAAAGAGAAATAGGAAAATATTTTACTACGAGCTCGCGCGTGATAAGGAAGATTTTTCAACCCAAATGGCTTCAGAAAATACGCGCTATTGTGAAGAAAACCTTCTTCTAAGGGACCACAAGAAGGAAAATGACGCCCAGTGTGACAGTGGTAGTGAAGCCACATCATCGAGTTTCAGCAGCCAAACCGAGTAAGAGTGTAAAATGGTTCTTTTGCCAGAAACACACAACTTTAGCTCACATTTGAGGGTTATTTTATCATTACAAAGATCACTGAATGTTCTAAATGTCCCTTCATTTGTGCTGTTTCCATCTCTTCTTGCTAGCTTTTCAAGAAACTATAAAAAAAAAACTTTTAAAAACTCGTGCGTTTAAAGTACACGTGTAGGTGCCCTTTCAAATGTTATTTCCACATGCTTTAAATATGTCTGGTTTAATTTGAGATAGATTCAGTTTTAAAATAAAATAGCAAAAGAGTTGGTTTCTAGAAATAAAAGTATTATTTATAAATTGATGGCTAAAATGAGAAACTCAAGGATTTATGTATTTATGTGAATGAAAAAGTCAGATCTCTATCTTTTTATGTGATAAAATAGTTAAAAGAGCCATCAAACACAGTTACTCCCTCATAATGGAACTTTGTGTACTAAATAATAAACAAAAAACTGATTAAGATTGTAGAACTGATTAGATTCTATTTCATGTCATGGGAATGTTTGCTATCATCTTTCTTACCACGAAACTCCCTTTTCTGTTTCTCTCAGCGATTTGGAGCCTGAATGGTTGGATGAAATTCAGAAGAACGGGGAGCTTTTCTACCTGGAGCTGAGTGAAGGTGAAGAGGAGGCCGCTTTGGCCCGGGCTGCTGCTAACCTGTGTGTTAACACCAATCACGTTCGCTTTAGTGAAAAGGAGGCAGAGATCATCACAGAGCAAAATAGAAAGAAGCCATGTAGCTCGCGGACAAAGCGCGAATCTGCCCTTAAGAGGCTAGCCAGGATCCTGAGGAGAAAACGCCACCAGTCTCAACGCAGAAGAGGAAAAGATGGGCGCAAAGACAGCTCATCGCCGCCAGCTTCCATCCTAAAGAACCAGCCAGGCCACAGGCAGGGAGTGACAGTTCAGCAGCAGCTGAAGGAAGTGTGTGTCTACCTTAACCCCAGACGATTAGCAGCTTCATCAGCACCTCTTTGTGACAGCGGAGGGCTGCTGGAAGCCCTGCTGGGAGTGGTGCATCGCCCATTTCAGAGCACAAGTCAGGGAGATCCGGTAGGAGTCCGGCAGGAGGAATGGCTGACCGTTCATGGATTAATACCAAACAGTCCAGCCATTAAATGTGGCCAAATTTTAATAGGTGAGATTTTGTTTCTAATGTTTAACCATTTTTGACAGACATATGATGTTGTTTTGAGTTAGTGATCTTTTTACTAAACAAGGTCTGACCAATAGACTACTCTGAGGTGAGGAGCTACCCTGACTGGTTAACAACCGCATTTACTAATCGTAATTAGCTTGTGTTTAGATATTTTTGCCTCTTGCATAACCCCATATTACCATTTAAGTGAATCTAAGGTTTGTGGGGCAAGAAAAAGGTTTGGGATTTGGTTTAAAGTTATTTGGTGGGAATGAATTGCACAAAGTAACCAGTCTTTTGGGTCATACCTGGAATTGGATCTGTGAGGTTTCATCCCCAGGAATAATGCGTAAAAGCCGAGCGGGTCAGAATTGGGACAGGGAGCATTGCGTCCTCGACCGTGTAGAATGCCGATATGCCAGATGCTGTTTGCTGAAAGTGCGGATCAAGGGTGCAAAAGGGGCGTGGTCACCTTCCGCACTTGACAATTGGGACAATTTTCGCACCCGTCCCCTTGACTGTGAACGCACAATTTAAAGAACAAGTCACCCCTTACCAGATTCTTACTCAACTCCCACTTCCTGTTTGAAAAATGCTGTTGCCTAGCAGACTGAGAGGGCGGAGCCGCTAACAAATACACACACTCACAACATTGTGACATCATAATGTACCATCTAACATCATAGTGTACCTCTTAGCCAATAGCAATGGCAGATTTAAATTCAAATGCAGAGCTGAGTTTTTACCTGACGAAGGTGCATCGCTGACAGTTTTAGGCAGAATATTTAAATTTTAACTAAGATGCACTAAAGTGCCGAGTTATTGACTACATTTGTCTACAGCATGATCAGACACTCATTTATATAGTTCATCAGCAAAAAAAATGTTGATTTGGAGTGACTTGCTCTTCAAGGACGTAAGAGTGGAAGTGCGAGTATTGGGCGTGGGTCCAAGTGTAGAGAAAACAAATCCATCCAGTGTTTTAAACTGCAGCTTTCATCAGAAATGCGTGCAGACTGTGGAGACTGAGTTTTTTTATCAAGTGGATTAAACATCAAGTACACAGCTGTAATCCTGAGCTAATCACTGGGCAGTTTTTGCCATCACGCAACAGAGTGCCAGCTGTGCTGCACAACAAACGACCCTCATCAGTGCTTGGATGAGCTTTTATGTTGTGCAGCAACATGTTTAAACCATTATAGTGGTTAAATACCTGGAATAGCTGTGTTACTGCGTTGAAGCTGAGCCTTCCTGCACACAAGCAGGTGAAGCTGTTTAATGACCTTTAGTCCATACAGCAGTAAATATACAGCAACTGTTATTGGACTCAGAATATAGGATGTTGCCAAACTTTTAGGGGCTTTTTTTATCGTCTAAAGTTGAAAAAGCATGGGCCTTTGTGCTGTAAGTTAAAGTTTTACAGCCAAGACATGTTACATAACGTTATCTTAGGTCTAAAAATGCCTAAACAAACAGCACTATGATAATTGATAAATAACCCGCACTTGTATAGCGCCTCTCAGAGTAAGGACTCCAAAGCACTTTACACTACAGTGTATCATTCATCCATTCACACACTCTTTCACACACTGGTGGGGATGAGCTACAATGTAGCTACAACTGCCCTGGGGCGCACTGACAGAGGCGAGCATGGCTCGGCAGAGCATTACTGAGAAAAAATCTTTTTCCTGTTCAGGCGATGTGCTTGTAGCTGTGGACGATGTTGAGGTGACCTCGGAGAACATCGAGAGGGTTCTGTCCTGCATCCCAGGACCAACGCAGGTCAGTGTGTGTGTGTGTGTGTGTGTGTGTGTGTGTGTGTGTGTGTGTGTGTGTGTGTGTACTAAGGATGATAGAATATAAAATCGGTGATAGAATATAAAATGTCACACTAAAAACTAGACAATATTTTCAATTTTTAAGACTGAATTTAATTAGAAAATTTGTCTGCTTAGGAATGCTTTACTTAATATGGTAAAGTAGTTCTTAATATTTAAATTGTTTTTAATTCAATTCAATTCAAGTTTATTTATATAACGCCAAATCACGACAAGAGTCCTCTCAAGGCACTTCACACAGTAAACATTCCACTATAGTTCAGTTCATTAAGCCAATCAGTAAAAAGTCTCCTACACACACACACACACACACACCAAGTAGTGTTTCTATGGTTAGATTGTGATTTCTTAGTGGATATTCTAGTAAGAGATAAACTCTATAGTCTTTAACTGAACAGGTGAACTAGTAGTAGCAACTTCTATGTTGTGTTATTATCAGGACAGGGAGAATGTTAATGCTTAGTAATGCACTAACTAACGTTACTGAATGGACCCTTATTGTAAAGTGTTACCAAAAATCCATACACTGCTTAAAACATCCTTTAAGTATCATAACCAGTGTGGAGAGTAACACGGTACAAAAGTAATTAATTACTATAATGCATTGCTTTTTGCTGTAATGTGGTAATGTAAGGCATTACAGGGAAAGAAAATGGTAATATTTACTCGGTACAATTGTCAGTAAAGCGGTAATTACAATCCATTTTTAAACCCAGAATCAAGATGTAGGTTTCCTAAAAATTCAAATTGCGGGAAGCCTGAAAAAAAGATCCAGTATCCACATATCTGACGTCATTTATGGACTCAGCTTTGCGGGCATTCTATGAGCAGAGAGGACGCCGCGGTAATGGCTCAAATACTCCAGCTGCGTCCTGCTCGCGGCCGCTGTTATATTCACAAAACCGCTCCACCAAAACAAAGTAATTCGTTTGCGATCGTTTATATCAGCCCATATTCTCTGGTACTTCATGTACTTTTCAGCTGAGTTCATAATCTGTGCCCCAGTGATTTCAACTCATTGCTGCTGGAGCACAGCGCATATTAAGCTTTTTATTTTTATTTTTTGCGTTCGGTACATCCCTTTGGCTGATAGAAAGTAGGACATCTATTTTACATTTTTTCTGGAAGACAGAGAAAACATGCAGCATGCAGGAAGGTTAGAGAGAGAAAGGGCAGGAAGTTATTCAAATAAAATCAAGAAAACAAAACTAAGTGCTTGAAAAGAAAAAAGTAGGTAGATTTATCCCCAATACACATTTTTACCAATGAAAAGCAATAATATATAAACATTTAATATTTATACATGTGATAGAATCAGATCACCCCAGAAGTCAGTCCCACATCCAGGGCCGTATCAAGGCATTTGGGGACCAAGGTAAATATGGGCTTGGAGCCCCCACCACCCCACTCCCTGCTCAGATGGCCCTATAAGATCGCAGTGTGCTGAGAGTACAGATTGTTGTTGCTTTTATTTAGTAAACCAGTGGTTCCCAACCTTTTTCCCAAGGGACCCCGTTTTTTACCAGTAAAATTTTTGACGACCCCCTCCCATTCTCTCTTCCAGTACAAACATTATTAAGAAATGATAAAATTGTTCAAGCACATTTTAATATGCTTTGATTCAATAGATAACAGTAGTAGTAGACTCCAGTACAGAACAAAGTCATTAACAAAACCAAACAGAGCATAATGTGCTTGACAGTTTATATTACTTTTCTGAACACATTGTTTCTTGTAAACACTGATAAATCAATCATTCCTTTCAATAAACGTTTGACACATAAAAAATACACTGAGCAAAATGTACTTAAATGTTTATACTAGATTATTTACTGTAAAGTCTGTGGTTAATCAACCAGTCCTATCTTTAATGAACTTTTGACACTTGACAATAAAACAGTGAGCTGAGCAAAATGTTCTTAAAAGTGTGTTACTGTTTCTGTACTAATTATTTCCTGTCTTAATATCAGTAAACTTTTCCCTAATGAAAAAAAAATGTGAGCAAAATGTAGGCTATAAACAAGTAATAAATGAAGTTTTAACCCCTTAAAGTGGAGAGGTCCTGGCGACCCACTGAGAGGCTTTGGCGCCCCCTTGTGGGGGTTGGGACCCCCAGGTTAGGAACCACTGTAGTAAACAATCATTTTAAAGCACTGTTATTATATCTGACTGTTTTTAACAGCAATCCTAGCTCAGACACCACATCACTTTCCACATATATGTCATGAGCTCACTGGGCGTCACATTACCAGATTCATATTGAAGTTGTTTTGGTGAAAGTAACTTAAAGTAATGCAAAAGTAGTGTAATGCCTTACATTTTAAAATCAGTCATATTGTAATGTAATTACTTTAAAATGAGGGTAACAAGTAATAAATAATGCATTACAGTTTTGAAGTAACTTGTCCAACACTGATCATAACACAGAATATTGTGGTAGTTCAGTGTACCGATGTTCTCTAGTGTGTAAGCTAAGACTGCAAAAGCACATAGCTAAGAATTACAGAGCATCCCATCTCTGATTTAGAGATCCGTTTATACTTTATGACCAAATGTTGTGTAACACTTTTTCATATTGGAGTTTTTATGATTTGTCTTGGCCACATTTCTGCCTTCAGGATTCTGGTCCGTCACAAATACCAGACATGGATGGACAGTAAATGCAGGCCTTAAATTACTTTTAGACAAGCTGTTTTACTCCTTCTAAACTATTAAAATATGCACAGAAAACAGAGGCCAAACTTGGTCAGTCGCTGAGACTTGATGCTTTGATTGTTCGTGAAAAAAATAAAATAAAGCAAAAATCCACCATCTGTTTCTCTGTTGAGTGTTTCCCCCAGAGATCAAACTCTCAAAAAAGGAGGAATTTGCAAATGACAGAGTGTATGCTGAGCTGATGGCGAACATGGCGGGTGAACCGGACAGCGGCGTGATAGTTTTGGTGCCACAGGAAGCTGTTGTGGCATCGAGAGCTCAGCTGATTAGAAGATGTAGCTGGAAACTAAATTACACTGCAGGGGAAGATTTTATGGAAAAATAACCAGGTTCCTCAGGCTGCAGGAAGACTTTCAGACTTGAAATAGAGTCGCATTGCTGACAGAATGATTTTTCCGTGTGTGTGTGTTTGGGGGGATAAGGGGGGGTTGATGTTGGGTGGTTTTTAAGCATGGCGGCCATCCCACATGGAGCAGACAGCATTTATTAAGAATGGAAAGACAGATAATGGTATTAAAGTCAGCCACTAATCCCATTCACTAACCTCAGATGAACTATTGTGTGTGTGTGTGTGTGTGTGTGTGTGTGTGTGTGTGTGTGTGTGTGTGTGTGTGTGTGTGTGTGTGTGTGTGTGTGTGTGTGTGTGTGTGTTGGTAAAATGACTGACATCAACTGAGTGGAATTTTAGTGAAAGCACACTCACGTCTCTGACCACATCCTTATACTTTATGAAGAGAGAAAGCGCTGCAGTTTGCCCACTCAGCCTCTTTTTTCAGCCGTTTCGCGACTCTGAGGTTTGCCCGTTTGAGATCTTTTTCTCTAAATTGGAGCCACTCAAACTGGTGTCTTATATCCCCATTTATAAATCACAAACAACTGAAGAAACAGGCGTGTGTGTGTGTGTGTGAGCGCGTGCATGCATGCGTGCGTGTGTGTGTGTGAGTGTGTGTGTGTGTGTGTGTGTGAGTGAAACTCGCCTATGGAACTGAGTTCTTCTGATCTGAATCATTAGCTTAAAGGGTTCCTCATGTGATAATCTGGTGTTTGCCTATTTAATAACACCCTACCAGTAAGCTTGACTAAAATAGCCGGGAGCCCAGATGTGGAGGCCTGCTCGTGAGGCCTGTGGCCTGTGGTTTAAAGCTGACAGGCTTCTGGAAGTGATGGTTGGATTAGAAAAATTTCAGCTTGACCCTTTTTGACTTCGTAACATGATCTTTCTTTTAAACGTACTTGGTCAGCTAAAGATGTTTAGGAACCAAGAAAAATACTGAAAATATCTGTTATTTAATTTTTGAAGCAGAAGAGAACAACAACCGTAGCATCGCTTTTATTGTATGGCCGCTACGTCTGCAATAACCGTAGACGTTCTTCAAAAGATAGCTGCAGGTCATCTTCTAGGATTTGTTGCAATAAACAAGATTGCAAACTCAAATTATAGCAGCAGAAAAACATGCTAATAGGGTAAACTACCAGCTGACCTTGTTCCAAAGATGACAGAATGAGAGCAAAACACACAGGCTATGTGTCACATATGTAAACTATAGCATACGCTCTGTAGTACGGTGTCTAGCACTTTCTTTCCTTATTGGCTGTATTTCCAAAACATTGACACATATTTATGCACACTTGTTCCCTTCTTGGGCATCCAGGATTCTGCAGCAGCTGTTCTCTGCTTTAATAGCAACCACGTCTGTATTTTATTCCTCATGTGGCTGATTGATCAAGTATAAAGTTAATTATGCTGAAATTAGTGTCTGCATGTTTCAAACTTACCCCGAATCCACACCAGAGGCATCGGCGGCACGGGCATCAGCGGGACAGTTTACCTGCGTGCTTCGTGGTGCGTCAGTCCACACCGAGAGAGCATTTCAGCCGTGGAGCAGCTTCCTCTCCGTCCTCCTTGCTGTACTCGCGAGCTCACAAAATCCCTAGACTTCAATGGATTCTATTGGAAGCAGCAAAGTTCTGCTGCCGTTCCGCGCCGTTGATGCCTCCAGCATAGATTTGGGGTAAAGTCTGTAACCCAGAAGCTAGAACCTTAATGAGGTATTAACTAATTGGCTTACTAATATGATCCATCCTCAATTTAGATAAAATATAAAATATAAATTAAGGAAATTAACAATACTAATTAATAGATATCTAATTAACTAATAGATAATTTCATAATGAATTATTGGAAGGGTGAATAACTAAAATAACGAGTTTAATATTAAACATCGGTTA